CGCGCAGCTCGTAGCGGCAGGGGCCGGTGGCGATAGAGGGTAGCCGCGGCGGCACGATGCTTGATGTTGGTCAGCGCTGGTTCGACAAAAGTCACTCAGGTCATCCTTATTTCGGCGTGCGCGCTCTCGAACTCGATCAGGACTTCTGGATGGATGACATCCCCGACCCCGACCAATGCACTATCGTGGCTGAGCTCCGAAGACAAAAAAGAATCTTGGTATACGGATAGCGGATAGCCCACAAATTTACCCCAAACCGAGGGGAGAAGTCCGGAGTGATCGGAAGAGCTCAATCCCAATCGCTGACAATCTCGGGTGCAGCGTGGATTCGCCATCTCGAGTCTGCGATAACGTCATGTCGAAGCCACAACGCATACCAGGGACAAACTTGGAGTTTTCCGCCCTCTTCTGAAGAACGGCCCGCAGACATGCATGAAAGCTCACACAGGCGAACAACGGAGGGGTCCCGTATGGATTGCGTGCATAATCAAAGATAAATTATGGGGTGAAGCAGTGGAAAAGGTGTACGCTGTCAAACATACATTACGCTTTCATCGTAGTGGGATAAGGGGGATCCCTCGTAGGCGTCACTCTTGGTCGCTGAGGGAGTCGACTGAGGATTTGAGAGGGAGGTTCGGAAGTCTACCGTCAAGCTGAGCATTCCTTTCAATCACTGATGATATACACATCATCTATCGAGGCCTATTGACAGGACAAGCAGCATGGGAGCCTCACACGTAACCGATCTTCAATCGGGGGCTTTGCATCAGGGAGATCCTCGCTGATATGTATGTATAATTGGATCGTCCCGGCAGTCGAGCTTGTTCAACAATTATAATTATACGAACCCCTAGCATATGGCGAAGCACCACAGACGTCGACGACAGCGACGAGTTTTCTGAGAGGCTCCGCCTCTGCTCTGGGCGGTCTCTGTGTACTTTTTATCAGCAGCATATGCAGGAGCTGCAGCAATGTGTGAGTGAGAGTGAAACCGTGTCTGAGTGAAAGAGTGACCGAGCGGCCGCGTTTGGGTCGTCAACCATGCTCTCCCCCTGATCATCTTCGTCGACATTGTCCGAGCCGGCTACGTTGTCCGTTCCGCTGCTCTTCAAGAGGTTCTGTCAGATATCTGGTGGTCGAACATGCGAGCTGCCAGCCGACTTCGAACATGAACACAGCGAGGTATGCATCTACCCGCGATCGAGGGCTGCGAAGCTCCTATATCTTACAAGCTCTCCCCTGAATTCCGCCTTGCCCATATTCTGCGGGAGTAGTTCTGGCATTCCGAGGATACAACTTTCTCGAACTATTTCCGGGCCGTCAATGGACATTAGGTTAGTCGAGGACCGGGGGAGGCCAGTGAGAGGACCGCTATCGCCGAGAATAAAGACGATTCTGAGGGATTCGTTGCTGATTCCCAGAGAGTGAATCCACCAAGACAAATGACCATTTCCTGAGGAGTCTTCTGCGACGTCATTTGGTTCCTCACAACATTCACAGCTATCGCATGATCTATTCATTCATTCGTTCGTTTGGGGGAAGAGCCTAAGCAGAACGTGAACTCGAAGACGAATGCCTCTCGTCTGCATACGCTTGCTGTCTGTCTTCAGCTTTTACTCGCTTCCGACAACTTTGATGGTTGAGTATGACAATTAATATATCTCTATGGATGATTCGTAGAGATCCTGAAATGCCTCGGGGGTGAGAAAATCCGAAGCGACTGATATCATGCCCTCTGAGGCGAAAATGCTCAAAAAAAAAATCGGAACACTGTTCGCGATCGAGCATATATTCGGTGTTGGCAAAGCTTCTGTTCACCTCAGCGAAGCAGACTAGGGAAACAAATGAACCAGTGGCGTGGCCAGGATTTTTTTTGGGGGGGGCGGAATTTTTTCCGAACTTGTGGGTAGGCTCACAGAATCATCGGATCTCCGTCTCATATCGATTGAAAAGTCATGATTCGCTAGCAGCAATCGATTCTATTACAAAAAAAATCGAAACAGCAGGGAAACGTTGAATTTAAAACGCCAAGAGGTCTACCTCCGTCACCGCGAAGAGGTAAAGTAGAACAAATGGAAGGCACAAAACAATCTACTGACAACGAAAGGTGACTACACTGGCTGGTAGGCCTTCGCGACTCACAACATTAAGTTCAGTCGGCGCTTTTGCTTGCTGGCGAATCTGTCGATTACGGATTCTATGTCCCACTCATCGTCTCGATGGATGTTCGACACTCTCCGGAAGAAATTACGGGGGGGCGAACGCCCGATCGCCTCCCCCCCTGGCTACGCCACTGAATGAACAAAACATGCCAACAAGTCATACACCCTCATGTCTGTCCTCACCCAGTACCTACGGGAAGGTCATCAGGAAGGAACGAGGAGCTCAGGAAAAAATCTACAAATCCCAACAGGAGCACTCTTTCTGCTCAGAACTCGCGGAAGGCTTCAATATGCCGAGAGGGATTACACGTTGGACGTCCGAAGAAGCTCCATATCGAGTAACACCGAGATGATTCGTATCCGAGAGAAGCGACTCATACGAGGCGTTCACTGTGTGGAGTCCGAGTCCAGCCGTGATGCCTAACTTCGCGGACAGCACTGACTCCGAGGAGTGCACACGTGTTGATCACGCTAGGTTCAACGGGAGAGTAATTTTCTTAAGCTGACGCCGACGACGAGATACCGCTTATCTCCGGCACTATGACCTAATCTTCGCGTATCTCTGTTTGCTCGAACGTGGTGATATAACGAGCGCGCGCAACTTTTCGGGTAAAGGCAAGCAAGTCGAACAGGCAGTCTCCCGAGGGGAACTCACCTTTCCGGGCGGACGGGAGGCAACCGGAGACCGGATGAGCCGATTGTTGAGGTTTCAGAACGCAGAAACAATGTTTCCATTACGGATCGACACGGTCCGTACCCATAGACTAAGTTAAAGCAAGATGGCTGGAGCGTCCTGGCTTTGCTGAGCTTTCCTGTCCGCGGCAGTCTGATTGGCCAGCCGGCTGCCTGTATAGGTGCCTGGTTGACTGCGTTTCGGCGTTATCAGTTGAACTTTGGTCACCAATATTGACCGAAGAAGGGAACAGGACCGAGAGCGCTCGCTACGGCTCTCGACGAAACTGCAGTTTCAGCCGAAAATACTCGTTCGCCCATTCGGCCGCTTCTATGCTGTGGACGCTGGCACCGTTCTACCGCTCCGATAGCGAAATATCGAGAATTTCCGAGTTATTCTCTACTGGGTTCCGTCTATCGAGATCCAACATTACCGTGACGGCAAAAGCGTGACGATATCCGCTTCCCCGAGAGCTTTCGGGTATCCCGGTGGGCACCGGGAATGTCCGTACCGACGTATAATATGAAGATCGACTCTGCTCGGAAGCTGAGAGGACGACCGGCATTTTTCCCCCGTGTACGGTCCATATGTTGGCCGCTCAGCGCTCTGGGACGCTTCGCTCGGAAATTTCCCTCGAACTCCTGGAATCGTTGTGGTCGCCTGCTGCCAACGAAGATGAGTGGATTATTTCTCGGGATGAACATCCAGGACTGTAATCTGCACGCCTCCTCCTGACACATTCACTGAGTTTCCGCGTGCCCTTCTTCTCTCATTCTTATTCTGCCTAAAACATGAGCCGGGGAGCTGGAAGAGTCAACGGATTGATTCCGCATTCCACCGACGCCGACGGGTTGGAATGAATGCTCCCGGAACGAGCTCCGCGCTGTCAAGGAACAGGGCCCTAATGTCTGTCGAATATCCAGGCTCACGGAGGCTGAGAAGTCGATACAATTCATGACGGGAAGAAGCGGAGGATACCGCGTAAGTTCTTTCCACATCCGATGTAGCGCGGGCCTCTCTTGCCCTCTTTCCCAGGAATTTCATTTCTTTCCCCGAAGAGAACCTCGGGATCGCTCGTAAAATGTTTTCCGAAAACCCTTGAAGCTGAGACCTGGCTACCCTCGACGCCGTCCAGTTCGAAGCAGGGATGGGGTCGGAATCGGAGTACACCACCATGGAGTTTTGAACGATCCCCTCGCGGTTCGATAGCGTGAATTCTCGAATTACGAAATTTGCTCTGCGAAGCGCGGCTCACATGAATGAAGTGTCTCGTCTTCTGCGAGGGAGTCCGTCGAATGGGCCGAATTCGAGGACCACCGACGCTCTCAATGACTGCGTGCCAGACTGCCCGGACTCCTTTCTCGCAACCCCTTCTCCGAATGAGCACCGTAAATGAATTACTGCCACGATGAGGATGGAGGTCTCGGCAGTGGCGTGGTGTGCCGGATTGCCGCCCGTCACCGATTTTTTTCTTTGAAAACCTCGCTTCCTGTGAATTCAAAACCCCAAAATGCCACCCCTGGAAGCCCTCGAAAGAGAATACCAACCGGGCGCACTGCGCAGCCCCCGCTCAACCTCCAGTGGCTGCTTCCCAAGCTTCTGGTCCAAACCAGCCGTCTGCGATCGCGCTCCTGGACTCGATCTCATCGTATTCCGCACGCGAGCTTCTGAGCAAAAGCCTGCCGAACGCCCGGATGTTCCATTAGTACACCGTGACGATAGGCGTACTCTTCTTAGAGGCCTGGAGCCTGATCGAACTCGGGACAGGGAAGGAATCCGGGAAACGAGTTCCTTTCCAGAATACCCTTGGTGTTTCGCCCCCGGAGGCGACAGTCGTGGAGTTATAACATCTACTTCGCCCTCGACACTGACGCTCAGCCCGGCTCCAGTATTGAGTCCGTGACCCGCATGGTTGCTGCTCTCGCGAGGGGCCAAAGCTGAAACCAAGATTTCCCCTAGGAAGTGAGACGATTTGTGAAACTCCGCTCTCCAAGACTTCTCGACTGTGAGTTCCGCATTCGGGATCGAGTTGCCCATGTCGTCCCAAGAGATTTCGTCCCCGTCGAATTCACGATTTTTGCATAATTGATCCACGAATCGTTGTTTCTTCCAACCGTCTCATTATTCTCCCGCTACTGTTCAAACAGAATGAGTCAAGAGCATCACATCAAACATCCTCTCGGTGAAACGGGAGGGATATATTTATTCAAAATCTACGAATGAGTCGATTCTATCATTAAATTCACTCCCTCCAGTGAAAGGTTGCTGCATCTGTTCTGGAAAACTTCTCAAGAATAGTATGCATTGAAAAGTCGGGAAATTACTCCCTTGGCACTGGATTTTGCCTTCGCTCCGCTGGGCGGGATCAGAGTGTCGCAAGCGGGGTTATTCCTGTAATTCTGACAGGTAACGTCAGGTAGGTTCGATGTGATCACTCGCAGTAGAAGGTTCCCATACTCGAGAGCCTCCTGCCCGCACACAGTTTCGATGGTTTTGGTGGCGCAGTCGGCGTAACGGAGGTAGACACAGCAAGCAGTTCCGACTCGGTCCGCGAACTTGGCTTCTTCGATCGTTTGCAGTCCGACCTTCACGTCCTCGATGCATTTACGGCCTTGAGGTTGAGCTTTGGCCAAACACGGGGCGTGTTTCAAATACCCGGCACGGAGCTTGTCACCGCGGGAGCAAAACTTTTTTTGCGTATCGCGAACGCCTTCGGTCAGAAGATTGATGACTTCACGCTGGATCGGAGTAGTGCAGAGTTTCGTGTAGTTACCAAAGCAGTCACTCACTTCTTGGTAAATTTTACATTGCTTGTCGACATCGGCTTCGCTTGTCGGAATCCTGTTGCTGGTCGCCCCTGTGGCTGCACACAGATCGAGTTCACGCAGGTGACAACGGTCCGCAGCTTCAACGCCGGCCATGAGCATGGAAACCAACGCGAAAACTGCTGCTGAGGTCTTCATGGTGAGATGTTCGAGACTACGGCTCCAGACTCCGAATGTCGCAGCAGCACCAGACCCAATGTTTATATACTCCCGTTCTTAGCCTCCTGTTCGAGGGTGTTATTGGTACCCATGAGACGCTTCGCATCGCAGCTGTGCCATCCCCATCTCTGCTCTGGTGTCGAACCCCTCATAGCCCAGGGAGCACACCCTCGCCTGCGTTCCAAGAACGCTCTTTATCTCATTTTTATCTCGCCGAAGGGAACCCAAAGTCAATACGGACCAACGTTCCTGGCACCGAGCAGACGGACGCCTGATACACATCAGCCGGTCTCTTCAAGGCTCTCGTCCTCCCGGTTGAAAACGAGAAGTCGGATCGACTTGAGGCTGGTGAATCCCGGAGTCCGGCTCAAACAGAAGAGAGACACCGCACGCGACAAGAAACGCACCGAGTCTTCTTCGTGGAAATTGCGGAGACGATCGTTTCTTCTCCGAGACAAAAATCACCCCGCATTAGAAAGCTCCGTCTTCTCTTCCGAGAATCTTTGGGGACAGATCCCCGAATGATCCCGGTAGTAGTTAGGTTAGAAGTCAGGTGAAAATCCATTGCGTTCCTTTCCCTTTCCGTTGGCAAGAATCGGACGTCCGAACCATTGATAGTCGCGGCCATGGGGAGAATCGAGGTTTGCATGACGGACCGGTCGAGTCCACTGCCTAGAAGGCAGACGGATTCGACCGCGGGGGGGCCGCAGTCTGGCATGCGACTCATGAGATGACCGATCGGATCGCCTAAAAGTACGATTCAGATTTTGAACACCTGGTCTCGCGAGCTTGGGCTTATAATATAACGGAACGGAACATCAATAATCATTAATGATTGACATTTCCAAGATGTTCAGCGAGAGCGGTTCCATCTTGCGCTAAAAACGGGGCCCCGCGCAGCTCCTGGAAGTTGGTTCATCAGCAAAAGACGAGTTCCTGATGAGCGAATCCTTAACCGTTCAACGTTTCCTTCCATCTATAGTATCTCCCGATCAATGGCGCGATGGCCGCGTTCCGGAACATACTTCTGACCCTGTGCAATGTCATCACTTGGTAGCGTTGACTCGCCTTCAAACTCCCCGGACGTCATCGGAGAAGTGTTGTCTTCGCCGCCGAATTCGGGAAGTATTCCTTAGGATGGAGGTCAGGACTCTCGTAACTGTCTGAAGCCAACCGTCCCGATCCTCGCATCACTCGGTCGGGTAGCATGGTTTCGTTGCGACCACATACGCCTCGCGGATGGTGCCCGGCTGATGAATATATGTATATACGGTCGCTAGGTTCACGGACTCAGCCATGAACTTCGATCTCTTCGAATATCTACGAATGCTTGACTAAGGGAATGCAAATCACTGGAGCGGCATGAGAACAATATCCGTGGATTAACAGCTCGTGTATACGCTCACCTTCAGAGAGATTCCCTTTCGAATGCCCGCGAAGCCCTCACCGAATCATTGTCTCGGATACGGCCGTGAGAGGTCTGACTCCCTGTCTTCCACTTGATGAAGTAAGGGAGCTTGACCCATGAATCCCGCCGGATTTCGTGGATCCTCAGGCATCGGAGCTCCCACAATCACTCCCTCAGCTGTGATCTCCATTTGATTCTAAGGACTCCTCTGAGTCGGAGGCATTGAGACAGTCTCTGTGGGGCGACCTCTTGCATCGGTTCTACTTCAAGGTAGCGCTGTGCCTTCCCTGTACATCTCCCTTTCGCGATGATCTCCCAGTAATTCTGCCGCTCCCGAGACTGACATCCGTCTGAGGCGAGCGGCCGTTGGGTGCTCAGGGGGTAGAGCTTCGCTCCCTGTGCTTCCTTCCCTTCCTTCTGAATACTCCCTGAGCAACCACATGTGCTCGGATCGAGAGATTCCACGGTCGGAGCAGCGCGAGATTCCCTCGAGTGGACACGGGAGGCGTGCGCTCCGACTAACTATTCGCTGGCTATATATGGATAGAGGGGCTTCCTCAGATTTGACGAACGTCAGTCCGCAGCGTCCTGATCCTCTATGATCCATGGGCAGTTAAGACATAAAATGCCCGTATGATGCTCCATGCGGTCTCTCCTAGTTCCAGATCATTGCAGAATTCGTGCATCAAATAGCTTTGTAGATGAGAATCCATGACGTGAGTATCGGACTCTTTCCCTGGCGGAAATTCTAACGTCTCGATGCTCCAATAAAGGCGGCAGCTCGATGCCGGCCAGCAACACCCCTCCATGTGCCCTCCGTATACGCCTGCACGCAGGAGCGTCCTCGCCTTTTCTTCCAACTGAAGATTGAAGCAAACTCAGTACATACGACAAGGCACCTGGTGCTATCGACATGGCAGCTACGTGCATCTCCCCATGCCGCGGAGAGGTTTCAGAATCTTCAGAGAGTTCTGACTCGAGACTGTTTTCCCTCAGAAGGAGGTTGTGAGCATATTTTCCCTTCCTTCCAAGTCCCGCATGAAGGAACTCTTTCTTCTGCCAAACAAGACGGAGTGCTGGCGCGACAACAACCCTGACCGCTCCCCGACCTCTCTGCGTCGGGACGTCATTGGACAGGCTCTATGCGCATCGGAAGCTCTCATAGCGTCTCGTTCAACGGTAATGAACTTTTGACTGTCCACCCGCAAGCTTTCGCAGGCCTGCGGGAGCTCCGCGATCGCACAGCGCACACTCCTCGAACCGACTAGGAGAGGTCAATCGGAAAAACTGCCAATTGATTGGCTGTGGGCATCATTCCATGGGAGAAATCTCGAGCACATGGAAATCCAAAGAACAGACGTCTCAGCGATGAGAATGGGGGCGGGTATATGTATATGTATGCGCGTCCAGCTCCCGAATAAGGATGAGTCGACTGCGGTCCCCCATCCGATTAGAACACTTCCGAAAATGAGAACGACGAATAGATCATTGGGTTTCACCTTCTGCTGATTTTTTCCTGTTTTTGCCCAGCACAGAGTGCGTCGAGGCTCTAGACTTGCAGACATTTTGGGGTGGAAATTGATTCTCTAATTTCTTATCTCAAGCGAGGGATAGCAGAATTTTGATCACGAGTCGGATTGAGGTTATCAGAACGTAATAATCCACACACTGATTGTATCAAAATAACACGGTTCCAGTCATTCGCCTGAACAATGCAAAATAGGTAATTTGGCAGAACTCTCTGCCTGTCTTCCTGACCGGCGAATTACTGACTCATGGCGACAAAGTCCCGAATAGGTACTTCAACTCCATCTTTAATCCAATGGCAGGATGAATTCAGGGAGACGGGCTCTCGACTGTGTTCACATCGGGGGTCATTTCCACAGCTTGTGGACCCACCGGCAGCAAACAAGTGGAGCAGCACTCTGCCTTCTCACAAGCTTCCTTCGTGCAAGTGCAAATGCGAGCGATTCGCGCGCTCTCCTCTAGAATGTCTTGCGCATGCTTCGACTTCACATGAGATCTGTAAGATAAGGAAATTGCATCCTGAAGAAAGTTCTCCAAAATAACAATGGGAGAAGAGAGCTCCATCGTCGCCAGTAGCGCCTGGCGCCCAAACTCCGCTGCCTAAACATGTCGGAGACTGACCTGAAGGAATAGGGAGTAGCGAATTTCTTGGAACAGACGTTGCATTGATGCGGTTTCTCTCCAGTGTGGGTGCGTCGATGAGATTTCAGATGGTGCGATGCACCGAAGATCTTCCCACAACTTTCGCACAAGAAGCGCCGCTCGCCAGTGTGAACGCGACTATGCTTTTTCCGATCGGAGACCGTGGTGAACTTCCTATCACATTCCAACCACTCGCACTCGAACGTTTGACCTGGGAGAAATTGAGGCATCGCTGATCGGCATGGGGACCTGAGTCGAGCAGCCCTTGTCTCTTCTTTGCTGATCGACCAAGGCGACTGGATAAGCGATATACATATAGTACCTGTGTGTATTCTCTCGTGGGCTCTCAGCCGATATCTCGTGGAGAACGTACGAGTGCATTCAAGAGCTTCGCATTTATAGGGGCGCTCATGCGTGTGAATTCGGAGGTGTATATTTCGACTGGAAAGGAATTGGACGCCTAGAGCCGACATTCGATCTCGATGATCTTACAGAGACAAAGTTTTTCACGGAGAGCTAATCACCTGTATGACGTCAAGAAGGCTTTGCCGCAGCCCTCTTGGGAGCAGAAGAAGGTGAGCTCCCTTGTGTGTCTCTTCTTGTGCGTTTTCAGATTCCCCTGCGTTGAATACGTCTTGTCACAGCCATACACATCACAATGGAAACCTTTCGTTCGTTCGCCGTTCAGCCCGTCCCGTGTCTCTGGAAACGCGATAGTAAATTCAGCTTTGATGGGGATTCCACTCATCCGATGGCTTGGTTCATAGCCCCTCAGACCAGTGTCCGTAAGATCGATGAAGATGCTGAATCTGTAGATGGTCGCTTACTAATTGTCAAGGTGGCATGAGTGGCTCTTTCGGGGATGTTTATGCCCTGCACTTGGAATGTCAGGTGATTGTCGTCGCTCACCCTGTGCTCGATGCTGGAATTCATGCAAGAACGATTCACCGAAACCCTCAATCTCCCAGTCGCAGTGGGTGCTGTTAGCTCATAGCTGAACAGGGTGCACACCGCGTGCTCCGAAATTCTTTGTCATTTACCTGACTAGATGATTCGTTCGTTCATCCGTAAGATCCTCCAGAAGATGGTCACTGCAAATTTCGTCATGGTGGTACATATCCTGGAGTGTGATGGACGACTCTTCGAACAGGGTGCAGCGTTTTCGATCGTCACTCGAAGACATGATCGCTCCTTATCGTATCCGGTGCTCGAAGACTGGAAGCATTTCACTTGAGCGTATTTATTATTGTCAATTCTTTTGGAGTACACGCACATGCGCTCATCACGTGGCCGGCTGTGTCATTCCTTGCCACGGCTCTGCGATCACTATCAAACAGGAGCTGTCTTCAAATTTTGTATCATCCGCTCGCTGCCGGCAGAGAGCCGAAGAATGAAACTGCTCCCGACTGGAGACGGATCGGAGAGTGACTCGCTCGGAGGTCCGACGCGATTCCCGTTGAGTTGGGAGACTGTATGTGCGGCGCAGCCACTGCTCGAATGGACCGTTGAGAACATCGGCGGCTCGCCCTCGGGGAAAGATTAGATTCGTGTTGGCAAGCGTAAAGTGTCGATGGAGAGCGACTCGATGACATCTAGCGCACACATCCTCTTGGAAGCGGATCTCATATCTAGTCTATTGAGCGACGGCTCGGAATGGTCGATCTGAGACAATGCTTTCGCCGCAGGTTTTATATGCGCGTCCAAATTGCATAAGGTCATTAATGCCTTAGGAGCCTTGCCATATTTTAAATTTCAGAGGTACTTCGCACGTGTCCTCGACATTATTGGGGCTCAATGTGACCACAGCTCCTCGAGGCTCCGCTCCCTGAAGCTGGAAGCTCGATTTTCCAACACCGAAACTTCGAGCTCTCACAAGGAGCTAGTTGAGATCTCTGACTGCCAGAAAAATTCTCAGTTCATCTGCCCCTCAATTCTCTGACTCTGATTTCATCATTCGTGAGATCTTTCCGACGTTCTTCAAGCTCGTCTTCCGATTGCCCTATTGTATACGCGGAATACATGGATTCCCCGTCCCGTCTTGCGGAGCTAGAAGAAATTTGACAGGAAATTCGTCGAAAGTCTTTTATTACATGATAATTTCCCGTATGTAGGGTCCCTACCCCCTTCCATGTGTACCTAATCCATGACGGGGTCGACTGCTCAGAAACGAAACGTGATCTAAGAACAAAAAATATTGCAGTATGTCCATCTTATGACTCGTGAACTGGCTGACAGATGCACCTAACTAACTTCATTGAAAGACTGGGTGTCTCGTGGAGGGATAACGCTCTCACTTAGGAGAAGTTAAGAAAGTCCTCGGCATGCACACTCCCGGAAAAAATCCAGCGGGGTGAGAATACTTCGCTCTCAGAATACTCTGAGAATACTTCTCAGAATACTCTGCTTTCGATGGGGCCCGTCTCGTCGGACTTCTTAGCTCTCGGGGCCGACATTTACGGGGTCGGAGTTTTTAGATCTGGTTTCGCGACTGGTTTTTCCTCAGCATCTTTATCTTTCGTTACCTCCTGGATGGTGTTTCCTTCATTCCACTTGCCGAGATAATCCACGATTGAACTATGACCAAAAGTCCTGGCATCGTCGAGTGGAGTATGACCCCAACTAGAAAGCGAGAAAATAGTTCCGGTCAAATCGATCGCTGATCGCTGTGTGAGGAAAGCCTCGAAACATTCCATGATCCCGGTCGTTGGCTGGGACCTTGATTCGATCTTACCGATCTTTGTTGCAGGGATTCACACCGCAGATTTTGAGAAGGAACTCAACCGCTTCTATGTGGCCTTCGGCGGCTGCCAGATGGAGGGCTGTTCTGCCGTCGTAATCGGAGAGCCCCATGTTCATTCCAGACAAGTAATGTCTTCGCATAGCGGTAACATCACCGCTGGCCGCTGAAAATAACAGATTGACCACTTTCTGTCCTTTGGTGTCGTACTTTTGACGACGCGGGTCTTTCTTCTGGGTCATGTGACGGAGATTGTCGTAATGATGGAACGAGAACACGCGAACTAGTTCTTCGCAGAAGTTCACGCCGCGCACCGAGTTCCCTGTGGGGTTCAAAGAGATTTTATCGGAACGGTCAGCGGAAGCCCTAAATATCAGCCGGAGAGACGGTTCTCGCGAGAGCTCACCGTAGTTGTCGAGGGGAGGCGACCAGAGACCAAGGCCCATGACGTTCGGTATCACGACCATGGTGCACCCGGCCACTCCCGTCTTGGCGGGTAGACCGACTTTGAATGCGAATTGACCCGAATAGTCATACATGCCGCAAGAGTGCATCAGCGATAAGACATCGCGACACGAGTTGGGGTTGATGACCTTCAAAAAGAGAAGCTCGTATCAAGTTCGGAGAACCGATTGTGCAAAGCGTCGGCGTCGCGTCGTTCGATGCGTGCGTCACGAACTACTCGCACTCCAGTATTCAGCTCGCGCTCGTACCTGATGGCCGGTGATCGGACAGATGCCTCCGTTGGCCAATGTAGCAGCCATGACAGACACCGAATGACAATTCACCTCGAGGGAACATAGTTGGAAATAGAAATCCATAGCGTCCTTCAATATGACCTTCTCTGGGAAGCATTTGTTTTCCTTCATGTAATAGGCGATCGCGTAATTACGATCCGCAGCTTCACGCTCCGAGAGGAAGATCGCATTGTTGAATGACAGATACTCTCCACCCGACAAAGCGCGGTAATACTGGCACATCTGAGGACCACAGGACGCAACGTTAGTAATTGAACGACCAGCTTCAACGCAAAAGGAATTTCTTCCGCTCGAACGTGAATTCCTACCCAATCAAACTTCTCCGATGCTCTCATCTCGGGCTCGATTAGATTGAGCAGCGTAGACGCGATAATTATAGCTCCTGCGTTCACCATCGGATTGTGCGGTTTCCTGTTGTGATCGAGCACGAGCTCGTTGAACATTCTTCCAGATGGTTCCTGACCGACATATTGATGAACAGTATCCGCCCCAAGTTCCGAGAGGGCGATCGCATAGTTCAGGGGTTTCCCTGACGATTGTATGGTGAAAGGAACCTCCGCGTCGCCTGAGTAAGAGAGATTTTACTTTAGAGAATTCCTCAAATAATTTCTCTCCTTCCTCCATCACGCAAGAAAACGTCGTCATCATCTTGTATTGCTCACCGATTGCGTATCTTTGGCCATCCACGGTGCACACCGAGACGCCCCAGTAGTCGGGCGAGTATTTTGCCAACTGTGGTATATAAGTCGCGACGTTGCCGTTCTGATTGCCTTTGCATCTCCAGTAGAATTTCTCGACATATGCCGTGAAATCTTGGAAATCGGGAATTACGAACTGGTGTCTGAGTGCTCTCGTGATAAGGACAATGTTCTCTTTGAGAACGTGCTTGAACGTTGCCTTATCCAAGCTCAAACCTTCCAGGGAACCCATGCCACCCGCGCCTCCATGAATTTCGCGCAAGTTCGTCATCATTTCCTGCAGTAAGCGAAATGAAGGCTTATTTTGCTGCAAGTCGAGCCAATGAAGTTCCCCTCCCTTTCACATGAACGTTCTTGTGTCCGTGAATGACTTTCGAAAGAGGGATCTTCGTTCATAGTATCGAACCTTGAGCCGGTGGTCGTTTTTCTTCAGACCAGTAGCGAAAAGAGCGTCGAAGAACTTCGCGATGGATATTTTATCGTCTTCATCCCTAAACATGTCGAAGAGAATATCCTCGACGTTGGTCGGATGCGCCTCCTCACTGGAAATAAGAGGAAAGTGAGACTCCAATCGGACTCGATCCGGCGGATCCGCTGGTGAATCAAGTCACTGCTCCCTCTCCCCTCCCCCCCTCCCCCACGAAATTATCACGATTGGCTCACCCTTTCAACGCTTTCGCTTTGCCTTCGCGAAATTCCTCCTCCGGCATGAAGATGCGACTCGCATGTGAATACGCTCTGCTGGGTACATGCTGATTCTCATACCAAGTCGAGAAGCGGTCATTGCCAAGAGGTTTTCCGCCGGAGAACTGGCCGGACCGCTTTTCGGTAGTATTTCGATCTTGATGCCTCTTTAAATGAGTTTGCTGAGAAGCCGTTTGGTGAACATTGCGATGTGGACGATTCACAAGCTGTGAGAAAGCTACAGGGGGCTTCAACTTAATCAGTCGGCAAAAGCGGCCTGTAGTGGAAAAAAGTTCCTCATCAATGCTTCGAAATGTCTTCTCCGATATATTCTGAGCCGGAGCGGCCTCGAGGGAAGGCTCAACTTCCGGAAGGATGCAGTCTTGATCTGAAGACTCCCGACGTCCAAAGTTCACAAACATTCGCCTCGATGATCCATGACTCAGAGCCCGGGGATCGTTCGAGTGTCACAGCGCGAATCGATAAACGATATTGCGTGACATCGTGGTATTCCAGAAGTATTCTTACCAGGAACGTCAATCAAGACCCAGACCCACGAGGAACGCAGGGAGTCGTCGGGACTCAGAATTGATCGAAATCGAAGACAAGAATGGGATTCTGCTTCAAAGAGGCGACTCTACCTCCTTCCGACTCAGAGTAAGGGAGAGACTGTCTTGAAATCCTCAAAAAGGTGGGACGCGTCTCTGACCTACAACGATGCTTCGTTCTAAAGTATTCACGCTCACTCAGAATTCACCTGAACTCATTAATCAGCCGACCTGTCGGACCTCACACGCTCGGAGATCGATATCCGTTGACTCGGTCAACCTCTGATTATATCACTCGCGCGCCGGTGCGGTTGTGTGACCACAAGGTTCGGCCAGAGATATACGAGCGGCTGAGGTCGTGCTCTATGTCGGGAACACGCCGTGTTGTACTCAGACCAATTCGGCTGCGATTCGAGCAAGATGGCCGGAGGGCGAGGGCCCTTGAGGAGAAAGGGCGATATGTCAGCACTGGGGAGCGAACTCCGGCCAAAGATTCGACTGGGCGCGCGGGGGACGGACGTTCCGGGGAACAGTATCCAATCTCGGACTCGCATCGAGGCGGCGTCGGGGGCTCGATAGAGGTTCCGCCACCGCACCATATCATCGAGACTTCCAATGGTTGTCCATGCAACGACTCTCAACGAGCAGTGTCCTGGGAGGAGCTCCTCGAGACGTTGCTCACGATCCAAGGGCCCAAGAGAGGTACCCGTGCGTGAGGCTATCGACAGTCCCGGAGCCGATTCTTAAAAGTTCAGGAGCGAGTTCTGTTCGACTGGAATGAAATGCTCTCATCTTCCCTGGAGAACATCTCGATAAACATGTCGTAAAAATTCCCGTCCGATGGAAAATCACAGGGAGCATCCCGACGAGGAGTTCCCTCCACTCCTTTTTGACGGAGACCGAATAATGTAGGGCGATGCTATAGCTCGAGTACTAGAAGGCCGCTCACAATGGTTCCGTCTGTAATGACGATTGCTCATCGTAACAACTGGTTCTGCGCGTGACTACACCTGAAGGCCTCGCGTGCTACTCGCGGCCCAATAACGATGACTTAACATCTTGGATATTCGGGATAGATAGCCTCAAAAAAGCCGCTGCACTACAGCGGCGACGAGGCTTTGACATTCGGAGAAGCTGTCGAGAAACATCGGAAAGAAGCTAGCATTGATTCGATTTACACGATAAGCAATTACGAATAGGGAGCGCGAAAAAACTTTATTAAACAACGATCGTCCACGTTAACAACCACAAGTCCGGCCGATCCTGAGCAGGGCAAACCTCGACCACCGAGCGATCTGACGCTCTAATCGTAATCTCCTCCGCCGAAATCATCGCCGCCATCATCATACGTCGGTTGAGTATAGGTATCTTCAGCTTCGAAGGTAGGCGCCTGGTAAGTGTCTGCAGCTGGATAGCTTGGCTCTACGTACGAGACTGTCGCCGCTCCGTATGCCGGTTGATCGTCCACACCCCCGTACATTCCACCGGCCTTGTCCGGATGTTCCGCAATAACGTCAATGTTCTGATCGTCTTGGTTCGTATTTGTCGTTGTGGTGTTCGGAGCAGCTTCTGCGCTATGACTATGCATCATGGAATTGATCGCATAGCCAGCCAGGCCTCCCGCAGCGGCTCCGGCTACGAGACCCCCGATGCCGCTCGCCACGCCGCCCCCGGACCTCGCAGGCTGCTGGATGACCTGCGTCTGGGGTTGCTGGTACGGCTGTTGAGGGAGCATTCCAGGCGGATACTGAACTTGCTGGGGATAGCCCGTCGGGGGAGCATTCGGATAGGCTCCGCCGTACTGGCCCGGCTGCATTGGATAACCAGGATTGAAAGCCGGTGAAGCGAACGGATGGGGGTTGCTGTGAGGATTTTGGAAAGACTGCTGCTGTAGGGCCATGGAATTGTCGTTGGTTATCGGCGCCTGTGGGAACTGCGGGGGAGGAGGAGGCGCTTGGTACGAGGTGACCGCAGGAACTGCGGTCTCCTCTTTGTCCCTCGGGCAGCAACAAGTGAAGACCATTACCACGAATATGATGCCTCCAACGAGTGCGATGGCCGGAATCAAATAAGGGAGTATCAAGAAGTTGTCGTCGCTGGGGCTCAAGACTTTCGGGTCGAAACGGCCGCGATGCGAAATTCGTCCGTTGTCTCCTTTGACCCGAACTATGTGGGTTTTGCTCTGCAAACTGAACTTGGCCTTGCACGAGCCGCGGGTGATGAAGTCGTCTTCTGGCCCGTCGAAACCCTCACAATTAACCGACGCAACGATCAGCGTAACATTGTTCGGCAAACTTGACGTACACTCCCACCTCACGCTGCTTCCGTTGTTTGCCCGTTGAGTACAAATTATCTCGTCAGGAAACACGTCACCGCAACCAGCGACACATCTGCAACAGCAAAACTTTAGCTCGTTGCCAAGTGACTCGAGCGAGCGCGTAGTTCCGAAGGAAAGAGTCGCTCGATGCTCGATATGTGTCCCTTGGTGTGAGTGCGTGTAATACTTTGAGGAGCGAGGAGGACAAGCTGGTACAGAACACTGCTTTCTGCGCGAGAATCACCGGGTCGGCGTGCTCTGCGATTATTCAGGAACATTGGATCGGATCCTTATGCATCAAGCAATGAGCTGATCGCTCCCTTTTCGATAGGCCGGCAACGGAAGGACCCGATATCGATTTTCACTCGGGGAGCGGTTCTCGTCGATCATATCGACGCACGTCGCTCCGGTAGAGCTCTAGTAAGCTCTACCGGAGAAATTCAAACTCACTCTAATTGGTCCGAAGGTTCTGTGCGCCGTCGAATTGTAAGTTTCCCTCTGGACGCTCGGAACTCCGTGTAATTCCGCAGAAGAACCTTTTCGAAAGGTCGTCCAGCCGGCGTGTTATTGCGTGACGTCGGCGCCGCTGGTGAGGCATTGTAAACGCCGCTTCCCGACGTAGTTTCAACGCTCACTATTGTCGCGTCTGCCGTTGTCGGACTGTTTTGAGAGCCGACGTCGGGCCGGGACGGCAACTCGGTCGAGTCACGGACTTCAGAGGTAGGATCCGACGACTGCTCCAACTCAGGTTCCATGGCCGTATACTCTGCCGCATGACTTGAGCCAGGAAGTACAGGCGTACTCTGCTGGAAAGAAGGGCGGCGTCCTTAGTTAGGAACATTCGTCTCTCCTAATGCAGTAGCGAATCGGCCGTCATCAATTCGGAATATTGAGATGAAAAACTTGATATCGAGATGGAATCCCGCCGACATTCTTGTCATCCGGCTCTGCGAAAAAAACCTGCTCGATGGAGATTCCTCTCAATCAGGGAGGTCAATTTCCGTTTCTTACCACCGGGAGCTCTGAGGATCCAAGGTCATCATCGCTCGCGCTCACGGTGGCCTTCGAGCTCGGAGAAGTGAGGAACAGACCGGCACTCGGACGAGTTTCATCGCCGATCTTGGTTGGGCCTGCCGGCTCAGTATCGAGACCGCCACATATCCCACAAGATATCAGAAGAATATAGGGAGCCACGCACTGCGTCGCCATGAGCTCCATGTCACGACGAACTTGGCGACTCCGGGACGTACATACGGTGGCGTGCAATGATTCCCGACGGAGCTGTACATACTTGGTTGTCATAGCTACAAGGAGTGTCGCAGACGACTGATTCTTAGCATCGTAGGTATTTCATGTCCCCGTGCGGAAGTATCCGAATTTTTTCTCTGATTTGATAGCTGCAGTACGTAGAGAAGCGAAGCTCTGAGAGTGCAGACTGGATTCAATCGCTCTACCGGCCGATTCGACCCGAGATTCCCGGTTCGGCACGAGCACAACCTAGTCCCCGAGAGTCGCGTTTGCGAAGTCGGACCGTACCCAAGCGTATCCTTGAAAACAGCTCGGACGGCGTGCATAGAGCATGGATAATTCTCCACCCGGCTGTCGCTTAGAACGCAGATCGCGCGATCCAACTTTGACCCCGAGAATAGGGCGGGCTGCAATCGGATCGGATCCTGTGAGTCGATCACCCACAACTCCAAATGAACATCTTCCAAGCGGGAAACAAACGGGGAGTTCCCGAGGATCTCTTTGACGGCCTGGCTCACATCTGCGCCGTGTCTCGATTTCAGGCTGAGGGTCGTAGAGACAGGAGGGTTGGAGATGACTCCGGTGACTCGGGAGCACAGACTTCGTTCAACATATCCTTCACCAAACCTCTAGTAAGGGAAGGCCGGAGAAAGATCGTGGTCTTCTTGGGAAACAGTTCATTCTGAAGCCCTGCGAGATGATACGGCATGGAACGAGCGCGAGATCCGATCGCTTGCTCTCCGTGACCCCCATCGACCGTGTAGCGCTCACCCTGCCAGATCGGGGCAAACATGTACATATGTATCTCCTATTTGTGTCGATGACTACTAGATGGGGAGCCCATGGAGAGAACAACAACATAAACGGCACCTTCGGCGTCTTTTGGGCCCCGCAAACCCGTTCACGTATCGCGATTCATGACCCCATAATCTTCACGGACGTTCTTAAAATTTTTTGCGTTTCCCCGACGCGCATGTTTCACCTCCAGAAGCTCCGCCAATTGCGGGCGAGGTCTCGTAGTGGAGATCGAACTTTTTCATGGTACGTCAGGCATCACTCCGCGGGTCAGGGTAGCTCCCTCTCGATACATACAGGGATTCACCAAGACATGATACCGAACCCGTGAGCCGTCCACAACCCGGCTCCAAAAAAATTACACATCTCAATGAAGGGCATACCGGGAATCTCTCACCGTTCGCTGACTCAATGGCGCGGATCCCTAGTGTCCGCGTGGGCAGGGGCCTCATCTGGAGAAAGACTGTATCGGGACATGATGATCGAAAACGAGTATATAATAGATCATCATTATAACGGAGCTGTATATAACAAGGAACGGTCACAAAGGACCGACTTCTCGGTCCCGGACCAGCCTATGGAATGTTCAATGTCACGTGGCTCGGCTATAGCGGACCCGACGATGGACCTCTGTATATAACAGGCTGATTGCTAGTCCCCGGTCCTATCTCCTCTCATGTCAATAAAATCGATTATAATGGAACTAGTCTTACGAGTAGGAAGTTCGGAGGCGATAGCCTAATGGATGATTTTCAAGGTTTCTTGTCGGTAGGGGAGCCAAAGCGGTTTTCTTCCGATGGTTTTCACGTCTCATTCCGTCTGACGAACCCGTCTCTAGATACAACGGAGTTCGGCTACGACGGACCGCTTCAACCGTTTCAAGTCCGATATGACGAAGTTCTTTTGTGTATATCAACCACTCAGGTCTCCAGTCAACCTTGCCTGGGGGACCTTCACCATGCTGCACGGGGACTTGCGATTCGATTGCGAGCCGTGGTCCTCACGCAGCTTGATAGATGCCGGAAGATGGAGGCATGGTGAACATTTGGAGACGACCACGGGCAGATTGATTGACAGCAGCGGTATAGAATTAGCCGATCGGCCCGCCCGGAAGATAAGACAGGAGAGAGATTGAGACGACTGAGCGGGAGGTCAAGCGATAAAATATTTCGCCTTTCAATTGATGGAACGCTAAGAGCCAGGAAGCACACAATCTCTCATTGCGGGCCATACGAGCAACATACGGATCCGCGCGGAATCTTATTCCATAGATACGTACCCGTGTACTAGTATTTCAGAGCCTAATGAGGAAGCCTCACCGGGGCCGAAAATTCTCAATGAAGTATCGAACTCAATGATTTTTTAATGTCTACTAAGCAGTCCAGCAGTTGGCCTGAGCGATCTCCTCGGCGACGTATGAGCTCGAAGAGGATGTGGATTATGCATACATTACACGGATTCTGGGTTCCGTCGGGGGGAACCCAGATACCCTCTCGTTCTCCCTCTCTATCCCCCATGTTCATCCCATCGGAATCGCAGTATCAGGCACGTAACTACATAGTATGCATATCTAGCGTAGAAGATGTCATACTGAAAATCCCTCGCCTCAATTCAGTGGGCGTTTTTCGTGGAGTCCTTCAGCCGTGATTTGAGTAGGAATTCGTTGGACCGAGTAAGTTTCGCAACTGAATCCCTTTGGAGGATGAACTCCATTCATTCGCAGGACCCGAAAGTAAGTGGCAGGAAGGAAACTCGGAGGACGGAAAACTTCTGCATAATCTGCGCGCTGATCAGCTCAAGCTTCCGGGAGACCCCTCTCAAAACATTGAAGATTCCTCCGGTCTCCATCAGAGCTCCGGCGCAGGACGGATAGCAGACTTTTGCAGACTTTTTTTACCCCGACTTGAACGGACCCTCGAAGGGAATGTGACGAGCCATGTCGAGCGATAGAAGAACTCGAGCATTCGAACCACTGACCATGGGGCAGCTAAGTTGCGGTTTTTCCCGGTAACTCCATGTCGGATCGGAGGCCGCCAAAACGGGGGGCATCTTTGAGGTTTCGAAGATGCCACAATGCTAGCACTATGCTAGCTCCTAGGGGAGCGGTCCTCCTCCGGATGTTCCTGGAGTTCCCATTATTTGTTGAGTCGCTCGCCCGAGAGTGAGCTGGAAGATCTGAACGCTACCTCAAATGGTGCAAACGCGATTAACGGGTTGAGCTCACGCTGGGACGGAGTGGTCGGCAATCGAAATCCCCTCTTGCTTCCGTCTGTCGCCCAGGCCGTTTTGAGGGTACAGTCTATCGCCCAGGCTCGTCTAGAGCTCAGCGTGGCTCACGTCCATGTGAGTCTAAAGGTCTTTCTCCAGGAAACACCACGGAGAGCTCGGGAGCCCTCAGGGGTCGCAATTGAAAGCGGTCCGCTGTTTTGTTGATGCATAGGAACGTGCAGTCGGGAAATCGGATGGGACCGCCCGATCGCCATTGAACACTCAGCAAAGACCACCGATATCATTATTCCTGCTCCCTCCCATCAAGTGAATCCGCATAGGTTTAATCCCATTACCCGTACTTGGATTGTGAACCAGGCATGAAAACGATTTCTCGACGGAAAGTACAATTATACTGAGAGTACAGCGCGAGAACGCGAACACAAGCCACCGAGGAGGAGAAAGCTCAGGGAGCGTCTGCTCGATTCGCCGCCACCGCCGCCGCGCTGCCGTTGTCGTCGCCGCGCCGCCGCCGCTGTTGTTGGTGTGTGGTGTGTCTGTGTCGGCGGCCCCGAGAGCAGCCGCAGTGTGCTCTCCCTGCTGCTGTATAGGGTGTTTGGCCACGTCAGTTCGCTGTTGATCCGGCCGTGCACTTAGCAGGATTCTGTCTTCCCGCGCACCGAAAACAACCTAAAAATGAATCTGTTTCGACTACTGGGGGATCTGTCCCACTTGTTCGCCATAATAATACTGTTGCTGAAGATTTGGAAAACTCGATCGTGCGCCGGCATCTCGGGTCGTTCTCAGCTGCTCTTCAGCATTGTCTACGCTGCTCGGTATTTGGACTTGTTCACGTCATTTATTTCGCTGTACAACACTGTGATGAAAGTCATCTTCCTTGCCGCATCGATTGGTGAGTTCAACTCGAGAGGTCACGTACTCGGCTGACACACGCTCGATCAGAAAAACGGCCAAATACTGATGGCTGCCGCAGACAGGTAGTTCAATCCGAGATAGTGGCCGGCAACAGTGACAGAATCGGCGCGATGACTCCTCGAACCCCGAATGGGGTTGTGGTCTCGAATGCGGGTCTTCGGGAGCAACCATTTCCCTCGAAGGAGCTTGCGAGCTCGTGCGACACGCTGACGTGGTGCGATTCTGCCATGGGAAGGAGAGAGAAAGATCGTTGCTTGGATCTGCGGCCACGACTGAGAAACTTCTCCGACAGTTGCTCGGTGTTTGGAGTAAGAGCTCATGGGCGCCCGATCCTGCATAGCGACTAATACTGAATTCTACCTCTGAAATTATCCTCAATGCACGCCAAGCGAATGGCGCGCTCAGAGCTTTCGCCGGCTGGAGGGAGAAAACCATTTGACAGAAGGAGTCAATGACCCCTCCGACAAGAGCATACCGACGGGAGGTTTCGTTCGGAGACTCATTTCCACCAGTGATTCGAATTCGCTTGAAACCTTGCCCGTTGTGGCCCTTGTCGATGAGCTGGATAAACACCGATACGCGCTAATAGAGGCATCCCCGCCCTAGCGAGGGATGATGATGAGCACCCCTAGCAGCTTGGCACAAATGAAGTTGTACGGGAGCGCTATTTCGAGTCGGCCCTTCGTGGTTTCGGGTGTCGAGAATCCTCTGAACTCTCTGTCGCTTATCGTCATAGCGAATCAGCGGAGAACTCAGAGGTCGACGGCGCAGCTCCTGATGCCAGCTGGCATATGTGCGACTAGAGTTGGAGTCAAAATTGGACTAATGTGTTGCGATGCGGCGATACTCCTTCTTTAGATGGGGCTCTTGGTTTCTACGCAAGAGGTGCTCCACTTGACAAAACTTAGGAGATCCATCAACCGAATCATAGAATGTCACTCCTTTCCCGAGCGTGACCAGCCGATCAGAAGCTCCAGCACTTGCATGATGGCGTTCTGACGTAAAGCGATAATGACGAATTCCTGGGCTAACTCGGCTGCTCCTGTGACAAATCGACGCTTCGAATTATATCCGGAGCAATTGGCAAAAAGTCCTAAGTACGGACCTCCGAAAAAATGTGTGTGCGCCGCTTTTTTGCCATGCGCTGCTGATCTCCAGCAGAGATGTGAAATAGTCTCTGAGATAATCTGCTCGTTCCAGGAACGCTTTACCTGATGTGGGTGAAATTCAAAGCTACCTACGACCGTAACCACGACACATTCCGCGTGGAGCTTCTTCTCGGACCCTGCGCGCTCCTCGCCCTCGTCATCAATCACGAATTCACTTTCATGGAGATTCTGTGGACCTTCTCGATCTATCTTGAAGCCGTGGCGATCCTACCGCAACTGTTCATGGTCTCGAAGACAGGTCGGTTTACCGAGTCGATTGGACATACATATGTGTACTCTATGGCCAACTGTATCACCGCCATCGTCCGCGCATCCCAGCGACGTTTAGTTTCTAACCCTGAGGGCTCCTCCTATCCGTTACAGGCGAAGCCGAGACTATTACATCGCACTATCTATTCGCTTTGGGTTCATATCGTGCTCTGTATGTCCTCAACTGGATGTACCGATACTACGCGGAGAACTTCTACGACGTGATTGCTATAGTTGCGGGAGTCGTCCAGACCGTATTGTACTGTGATTTCTTCTACCTTTACGTCACGAAGGTCATCAAAGGGAAGGCTTTGAAATTACCCGCGTAGACCTTCGGTAGATTAAAATTGATGAAGACCTGAAAGAGCGAGAGAAAGAGAGAAAGAAAGATAAGCGGTGTTAGTTTTTATCGAGAAGAGCGAGATGTGAAAGGTTTCAAATTTATGAAGCATTTTGTAAATAAAAGAGAGTTTCTATTGTAATGTACTATCTGCGTGAATACGAGATTTCATTCCAAGTCGAAACGGCGCTCGACAGAAGGAAGCTCAAAAGGTGGCGGGAACCTGATGAATGGCGGAAGGTCATCGTGGACTCATGCGTCTCCTCACCATCGATGCGCAATTTCAGCTCTGGGGCCGGAATAGAACGCACACCCCGACCCGAGGGCGCTAGTGTTCCTCGCTCGAGCTAGAACCCCTAACAGTCATGCATGATTCAAACTTTTCGGCCTATGTTCAAGCATGAGTGCGTGCGTCCAGTTGTCAAGCGAGAAGTCCGAGAATAAAGGATACAACTGAACACCCTCAAATCGATGCTTACCTATGTATATATCCAGAGAGATGAACCTGATGTCGGATCGCATTAAAATAAGATGAGGCCTTGAGCCGAGAGTTGAAGGATACGTAGAAAGTTGCGGCCCGTGAGATCGAGAGAAAGCGATCTGTATTCACGTTTCAAGGCTCTCCCGAGGTGCCAAGTTTGCGCGACCACCAGATCACTCACTACAGAGCCATCGGGAACATCCACTCCGAGCTGCGCATAGCATGTACTATTCAATCGGATAGAAATGCCCCTATTGCAGTGGAATGAAATGCCCTCCCGCGAACCCGTTTCGGGGCATTCTAGGCATAAGTTTACGTCCGATAAACGCTCTCACCCTTTGGACTCACCCCTTAATGAGTACCCGACTTCCACGGCGGCCAGCCTCCAAAGCTACCATGCTCTCAATGACCGGTGCCCCTCCTGGGGGGAACGAGACAGTCCGCGGGGCGGCTCTGCGGAAAGTATGAAGTCGGACTTCGGCGGAAAATCGTTCCTTGCAGTTTCCTAGCCCCATGGAGGCGCGAATTTCCTGTGCAGAAGAAAAAACGAAGGACCGCAGGAGAAAACGATGTCGGTATTCGGGGAGCCACGTCCGGAACGGAGATCTGGGAAACCCACGGAAGTTGCTGTAGCCGTAGTGAGTCATAGAGTGAGCTTGGAATAAAGACGGGAGATGGAATGTGGCGTAATCGATTCAAATTCTGCTGTGTATGTTCTCCAGGATAGCCTCTGTATGTATCACACATATTGTCAGATAAATTGAGTCCATGAGCCTCCTAATGGGCAGCTTTCAAATAACGCGCGTCCATGCAGAAGCCTCGGTCAAGAGTGACGAAAATGAAGCGTCGAAAAAGAGATTGTGCAACCAACGCCACGTGCTCTTCTCTGTCCGAAAAAAAAAATCTATTTTCCCTGTGGTTCAAAGTCGAAGATCAGCAGCGGCTCGTCCCTATCGATATCGATCGTATACAATATAACATGGTGCCGTGACCACGATACGAGTCGCTGTTACCACTCGCTTCTTCGAACTCGTCGTAACCACACGCTGTGCTCGCCGCGCGATGTCCGCCGAGAACGCAGCCCCGGATCAGACTCCCGGATCGCTAAGGGGGATTTGAATTTCGAGGACCTTCCGCCGCGAGGCTGCCATAGCCTTCCTCGAGATCATGACTCAGCACATGAGCCGGATTCGTGAGCTCGTCGCGCAAATATTCGACCTAATCTAATGAGTGAAGCCAACGAGGCCGATTCCGAGGCAGAGCTCACCACGGTCGAGCGGTTCGGGATCGACGTCGAGAGAGCCATCGCCGCAATTTCGGCCCTAGTGCGGCGAGGTTCTCACCGGCGATCCATGACAGATCGGTCGCGCTCAGAACAATCGCAGCAGCTGGTCGAAACCTTCTACGGTACCCAGAGGGTGTTCGCCGCGTAAGATTCAAACTCGGGATGTCGTACACCATTTTTCAGACCTCACCGGAAAGTCCGACGAGCTCTGAGACAGAGGAGTCGCCAGTCGAGGCCGCGCCGTCAAGTGTACCGGAATCCAATGAACCGAGTGCGGCGTCCTCAAGTCAAGCCCGAGTCCCGGTCAGCGAAGTTGCGACAGTCATTTCAGCGCCGCGCTCCCCAAAGGAGCTCGATATCTTCCCAGACGTGTTCGATGGTGATCGGTTGCGATACCCCGCGTTCATAAGGCCATCCAATTGCTTCGTGAACAAGCGACCGATGCGCCGCCGATCGAGCGTTCGATGTACCTTTTGAAATACGTGTCTGGTGAGCCGGAGCAAATCGTACACGCTCTTGAGCTCTCAGGCGCTAATTATCAAGTTGCTCCCGACGTGCTCGACGAGAACAATGCTCGAGTTGAGAACGAGCGGGTGCGGTCAACTCGATGCCGGACAAGTCGATGCCGGGTCAACTCGATTCCGGACGGTTCGATGCCGGGAAGCTAGGCAGAGCTTCATTTATGCAGTCCGAGTGGAGCCCGTCCATCGCTTGCATTATAATTCTGACTTGAAACTCATCGAACGACCTCCGCCAGAGACGAATCCACCACAGAGCCGGAGAAGTATTCGCAAAAGGATGCGCGACCTTGAATAGAGCTCTCTGAGAGCCTGAGTTTCACCGCTCCCCAACCGTTATTATTCGAGATAGTCTTCTTCTTTATTTTGCGAATCCTCGAAGCGTCATCAGACACTCTCCGAGAGAAGTATCGTACTAGTAAGTATCCGCAAGGGTCGCCCCCAAGATGGTGCTGCTCGATTAGTGCGTACTGAGAGCTGAGGAGGGAAAGTTGGTCAGGGAGCTCTGGCGCGGCGCAGAGATCCGCGGCTAGCCAAGTAGCTGTGATGCTGACGAGAAGTCTCTGCTCCACTCCACTCTCTGCTCCATCTCGTCCGACTAAGACGAGAGCGAATAAATGAAGCGACAATCCTTCATCGACCAGAGATACAGAAAAGCGAGAACACAGAATACGAACGCCCAGCTGTGGATTCCAGATAATATTAATTTAAAATTTTCAAGGAGTCTAAGCATGGAGTCAAGCTGGAGAGTCAAGTGTTCTATGATGCACATTGCCTCGTATAATACGCGACGTCACGAATGAAGCGACAACACATCCGCCTCGAGACAATTCCATGTGATCGTCAGGTCATGCAATCCTGTCACAAAAACAGGCTTCCTCAACCCTGCGGCGTGTCATCGTCTGGCGTCCGAATCTATCGTCGAGGGCTTCAGATTCTTGGTGTCCTCCGTTCTCGCGGTATTGAATTTTCGGCTCGGGTCTTGAGGGATCTCTGATCCACTCTTTTGGTCTGCTCATTCAAAACTCGTCGTCGGGCGTGACTTTCTCCTCGTCGGCGTCCAACAGGGCTCTGAGTCTCTTCGACATGGAAGGTTTCCTGGGCGTTGGAGCTGCAGATAGGAACGTGACTTCAAGAGGAGAACGGCGAAGCTGAGGTGTTCCCTCGATAGTCTCAATTGTCATGAAGCTCAGCACACTTACATGTTTCAGGTCGACGTGAAGTATTCGTTGTCAAGTATTTGGTGATGGACGAGCCTTCTTCTAGGGGCACGAATTTCGTGGCGTTGAATTGTATAACCTCTAGACGCGGGGACAGCGCATCGCTTGTCGGGGGTGCCGTATTGAGTTTTCTCAAAACTCGCATCACTTCATTGTAAAGGAAGACCTTGGTGAAAGTGTTCCCGGACAAGGTCACACTCCGGGATTGGTATCCATTGCCAACAACGAGGAGGCGCGGTGCTCGGTGATTTATTTTCGAATCTTCGCGGAGCCGTTCCTCGAGTTCCTCGCTGAGGTTATTCACCCATTTACTCATCTCGGTCACAGTGGTGAGACAAAGTTTCCCGGGGAAAGTTTTCGCGCAGCCGATGCTCTTCGCCAAAAGCCGATTTTCCACAGCCTCGGAATCGTAACCGAAGCTCAGCGAGTGGAGCCATCGCCTGTGGGGAATTCGGTGTTACCGTCAGAGTCGGATTTCCCGATTTGTATAAGGAGACGAAATTCTCCCGCTTGTGAGCCCTCGGAAAGGCATACCCCGTCTTGTCGCCATAGAGCTGTATGAGTTTACTTTGAGGAACCTGAGCGAGCTCTGCCATCGTCTGCACGTTGAGGTCCTTCGTGATATTCTCGCCGAGTTTGCCGCCGAGGTTGCGAACTTTGCCGATAGGAACAGTTGTGAATAGGAGTGCCACTGAGCTGTGCGGAACCACGGTCAGTCTGTTCGGTTTATGGAGTCCTGCAGCAAGCTTGGCCACAATCTGGAACCGTCGAGAACAAGAGAGGGGCTCATGGATCTTCCGGGCCGAAGGAGCATGATGAACAATATCCACAATCCAAAACAAGGCAAAGTTCGGTGGAGCTTCACTTTATTGTGGGAGATTCCCGCGGAGCACGTGAAGCCTGTCTCCTGTAGAACTTTCGCTCTCATCTCCATCATGATAGCAGCTCCCCGAGCTAGATATGCGTCTCCTCCATCCTCTGTCCAGTCGACCTCTGCAAGTTTCCCGGATATTAGTTCAGCAGGCAAAACATTCATCCTTCATTCAAAATACGGAACTTGATTTCTCAGATTCTTCCAGCATCATCTCACGTTCAAGGAATGACGTGGCGTCCTCGTATCCTTCGATGGAAGCGTTGCCGAGCGCTGCTGTTGGCACACAAGTTAGCTTATTGGCAACGAGTCCCGTGAGATCGATGTAGGCCTCATCGATGGAAGCTCTTTCGACCACGGCACCGAAAGAGCAGAATACTTTTAGAACCTCCGCACCCGCTTGTCTGGAAGTTTCACAAACCAATTATTATCGTCGATTTTTCCCCCTGATTGCGCCGGGGGGAGTCAAGCGCCGTTGAGGAGTATCGGAAAATATCGCGCTCTTGGAGGAGGGTAGGTGGAACGGAATTCTCTCAATCACGAGCATTGACGTACCTGTATCTGGATAGATCGGCCTTCTGCCGCACTTCAGGTACATGATATATTATACAGTCCGAACTCAGAGCCCTGGCTTGATTAGGTCTCATTCCGCGCTTGATGCCCTTAGCTCGAGCCTCGTAATTCACCGCGATGCATCCGCCTTCAACTCCGCTCCCTACCGGAATAAAGAAGAAAGACTTCAATGTGAACAAAGAATTCCACGCTGTTGAATGTTCCCGGAAAATTCTCGCGCTCATCCCCGTCCTCACCGGTGCACTGTACAACAACACCGGGTTTCCCCTTGTGCTGAGGTTGGAGTCTCTCTTCCACTTGAACATAAAAGCAATCCATGTCGATGAGGGCTATGCATCGCCCGAGAAGGGCTGCCTGGTTACTCATCTGTGAGCTCTATGAGGCGTGGCTCTCACGAATCTTCCTTCATCGGAAATTTTGTCAACCGATGGGGTTCAATTTCCGAAGAATCCCTTGCCCCGGTTCCTCCGGGTAGGTGGAGTGGACTTTCCCGCTTCTCTGGACATGTGAAAACAGCTGATTGCGAGTGGCGCGGAAATCAAAGGTCTCGAGGAGACATCTGGCCCACCAGGCGTGGAACGACGCTATTTTTCGGTTTGGAGCTCGAGCTAACGTCTAAGGAGAGAGGCTGAGGGAACCATGGTAAGCAGCTGTCACGTGTCTCAAAATCATGAGTCAAGGAGACATCGGGGCTCGATCGAGTCTCCGTCAGGATCGAGAGCAGACCGCCCACCGGCCTCACGCGGCGCGGCGTTGATGATCTTTGCTCGGAACGCAAGAATTCGCTCCCCATTAGGTAATTACATCATCGATGTAGTTCGTTTAGAGAGCACCGCAGATTTGGAAGCACAATTGAATCGATGAATCCGCTCGATTCCGATCAGATTGCTCGAATGGGTTTTTGAAATACGCCGACAGATTACATCTGGAATGAGCTCGACCCGTTTTGTATCGCTCAGTTTCCCGCCGAAGGCCGTCTCTGAACGGAGGATCAACTTCATGCGCGACTGCATCTCCTTCGGCCGAATTCCTTTCCCTCTTTGAAGCAGAGCGACTCATCTTGAAAATGAGCGCTGCAAGCACTGACCGAAGCTTCACGACGTTTAAGCAAAATCATCGTTGCAGAGTTCCGCCGCCGCTCTGGCTACGGTGTGAGTGGGTCGGCTGCTGCTGCTACTGTGCGTAAACATAACAACGCGAGAATAAAGCATCCTTATCCTCCGTTGGAATTCAACTCCGGTGGATAGTCTCCGAACATTCAAGTGAGTCGGATTGAGGCAGTACGAGGCATCTTAGCTCGGGCCCGTACTCCAGACCTCGAAGGAGACTTAAAGCGCTGCCTGCTGTCAAGCTTCAGTTTGCCCAATCGTGTCCAGTTGTGGTGGTGTCAAAATTCAACAATGGCATTCTGCGGGGCTAGGTTTGTCGAGAGAAATGGGTGCTGAATTCGTCGCCGTGAACGTCGAATCAGAGTGCGAGGGTGGTGGGAGCTTTCGACGCCGGGGGGCTGATCATGTATGAATCGGTCGTCGACGAATGTGTTTGTAGAACCAGGCAGCGGAAGCCAGCGATGGAAAGAGGTGTAGCCGCGGTAGTTCTCGGAGTGTGCAGCGAAAACTATTTTTTGACGGCCGAAATTATTGAATGGGTGTTCGATGGAGCTAAGAGTTTTCCTAGTTATGCCTCCATAAGATGCTCTACGCAGCCATCGAGAGCATCACAGAGTACGAGTTACCTGAACACCCTTGTCCGACCATCGATCAGAAATCCGATCCTCCTCGGCTGTCCTTGACACACTCATAGTGTCAGATTCCTTCATTATGAGTGCAGAGGAAGAATCATATGTCTGAGGGGCTCGAATCAAGTTGCGAATATTCCCGATTTCCGAAACGACGGAGAAAGGGAAGAATTCGAAACCTCAGTTATGTGAACCTCGCCGTGTCACCCCCTCCGAAGCACACTACATGTCTGGGCAGAATAATGCTGGCTTTCGGTTCTCTCAAGACCGACAGCGACTCGGCTGAGTCTTTTTTGCTCGAATCCCACGGATCGCGTATCTCGTCTATGCTGTTTTAAGGAAGACTCCTTATTCGTTTCCCTAAAACACCTACAATGTTGGCTCTACGTTGCAGTATGACGGATACGGTCTCGAGGGCGAGCCAGGCGCCGAGCCTGCTGCCCAAACAGGTTCCTTCGTCGTCGAAGCTCGACGATTTTGTAAATGTGAGTATACATCGCTTGGTCCAGTCCGTGCAACAGTATCGGAAGCTATCTTCTCCGACTGCCAGCGGCTCTTCGTCGTCATGACGAGGAGTGATGCGACGTGTCTGAGCAGATAGGATCCGCTTGACCATACATGCACGGAGTCGGGCTCACTACTGTCGAGTTCCTTCTCGCTTCCGCGGCGTACCTCGGCAGCTACTTGGTGTGCCATCGAGGAGAACGGATACCCGCACCTCACATCTCAACAGGGTACTCCCGAGGCTCGAGTGAATCCGAGGAGGCGCCCGCGTGCGCCAGTGCGAGTGCTTGTTGTCATGACTTCTCCATTTTTCCAGATGTATATACTGGATAAAGCCTTCTATCGGATTTTGGAAGCCTATGGTATGCCGAACGAACCAGTCACGTTCTGGATGGTAAGTTCATGGTGCTCTTTCGGTGTTACCATTCTCCATAGGAACTTCGGTATCTCCTGCGATCAGTGTGCGGCGCGGCGTGAGTGTCGCAGTGACTTTGAAATTGGATCGATTCTTCTGCAGATCCTCTTCTACCTGAGGAAGCATATCCTGTCTAAGGGTCTTTTTGACCCGTCAAGACCGGACGTCATCAAGTGCTCCGGAGATCCACTCGGGACCTTGTTCAAGCGAATCTCGTTCACCAATCGGGAGGCTGTGTAAGTTCGTGAATGACTTTTTCCCAATGATCCTCTTGCCTGGGAGTTTGAACTTCTGGATGCTGTGTCAGAGTAAGCTGGAGTGATTGAGTTCTGAATCCCGTAAGGGAAAAATGGCATCGATAGAGATCGTGACGCAGAGAGACGAAGTTTGGCGCCAAAACTCTCAAGAGTTCGAAGCCTCGTGGCTCGTGGGCGGGGATATCGCGTTAGATGCATGGCAGCCTGATTGATCTCGGCTGGTTTCCTTCAATTCGAAATCGTGCTCGATATCGGCAGCAAAATTCTGCCGTCTATGTTCTGGAGCTCGTTCGGGAATTTCGAATCATTGAGACTCCTCTTCTTGCTCGCCTATTCTCACCGGAGCTTCCCGGCTTCGGTCTCTTCTGTCGTAATCTTATGTCTGTAATAATCTGTCGCCCCCTCCGCACGAGGCGCGGGAGAACTCTCTGGTCAATACTGTCGGAACAAGTCGAGGCATGTCTGACCATCCATCTGAATATTCGTCTCGTTAGCTCCTCACCTGATCTTTGGCTTCGAATCATGCTGATACTACTCATCTCTCTTCCTTTTTTCAATTTCCCTGAGTATGCCCCAACCTCTTTTCTGCTCATGGCTCGATATGTTTTCTGCGTCTGGAATCGGCTCGAGAAGCTTAACATCTTTGATGATGAGTTCTTTTCCTCAATGTAGACGCTCAAGCCAACTTGTGACTTCGGAAATCATGAAGACTATGACACGAACGATGTCGTGGTCCCATGTGTACCGTTCTCTCAGATTATATTGTTATTCGGAGCGCAGAAGATTGTCAGAATTCGCTTTCGCTGAACAAAATCGTCGTCACTCAATGTCGAGGCCGGAGCATGCGTGTCTGTCTGCCATGTGACGGCACGGTGCTACCGTTGCTTCATTCCGGACCAGAAGAAACTCGGAGGGAGGAGAGCTCAGATCATGGGGAATGATTCGCAAACTGGAACAGCTTCTCTGTTCTCAATCAAGATTGTAATTGAAAATTAAGAAGATTGTGGGATCGAATCAATTTGGGATGCCTCTCTCGCTCGAGACTGACCGGTCATATGAGGTAAAAAAAAGCTCTGAGAACATACTGCAGTCAGGTTTGGTCAGCTAGCGCCCTTTAGACTCGTCAATCCCTAATTTTCCATGAGAGAATCTGTGTGCAAATGCTTTTCATGCGATATGCTTAGGTAGAGATTTTCTGTCCCATTTTCCGTGACGATTCCATCGTGGCTGCGAGGATCGGACGGAAAAATCAGTCGACGGGGAAACATAACTGACAGCTGATTCTCTTCCATTTTTCTCTTTTCCCCGTTGCGTTCCGATGGACTGATCATTGTTGTGGTCTCTTGTGGTTGGCTCCTCGTCTCCAATGACCTAAACGGACATCTTCTCTTACATCTTCTTCATACAGAGATTTAATCAAGCGACACATATCGCCAGTGTTCACTCAGAAGCTACACGACGTGGGTAAGGATGGAGATGTTTTACGTTAAGCTCTACGATCGATATCCAACGAGCTTCGTCCGTAAAAGAGCGCTTGGCTTACGCCATTCGTGAACCCTGTTTCGAAGTCACCGACAATGATTGCGGATCCTGTGTTCCTCTCACTGTCGCCTGTTAAAGATTCAGGGAGGACAATCATGAGCCTCGAGAACATCCCTCGCGCTTCAGGATATGAGAAGCGGAATCTGTTTCTGTAATCTGAATGCGCTGGGGATTTGCCGAGCGGTCGATGACCGCGCGCCTCACGGTTCTCAGGAGATTTCGATGGGGAATCCGAGTACTCGTTGAACCGATTTGAGCTCGACGCCTGTTCGCCTACCGCGACGTTGCGCCAAGTCTCCGAACCGGAAAGTCCCGATTCCTCGTCGATCAGGGGCATTGCACGATTGGTCCTAATCTCCTTTGGATGCTCCTCGCTTTTGAATGGGTTCCATTCTTGCGAGGGCATCAGTCTCCTATGTGTGTGGTTCTTGGCTGCTTTAACAGGGATGGGTGCAAACACTCAGCTGACGGGGTTGTGTCGATGAGGGATCACGACCTGAGCATGTCCCTTGCACCGGTCCCTCATCGAGCGCAAGGACTCGAGCTCCATGAGAGCATCGCACGGGGGCCTGTCGTTTTGGTGTGAGACGAATCTCGGGTATATTCTCGTTGACATGATATTTCATCGACAATAGGAGGTAACTCGCCCAACGGCTCGAACTCCGAAGTCGACGTGCTTCATGGGGTGACGGAAGCCATGAACTGCTTGTCTGATCAGAGCTCCGAAGTTGATCTTGAAATCGAATTCAGCGGGAGCGATGACAATGACGACAGCAGCAGCACAACGAACCTCTCGATCTTTGAGGAGTTCCATGAAAAGGTGAGTCCAAGCTCTGGCAACGAGCTGAACCTTCCGTGTGCCTCAGATGGATGCGATCGCCAGCGGGACGAATAGGGAATTGATTCTTTCTTCGTTTCTCTTAGAGTCTAATCAAGTCATTCGTTCGTACGGAGTCCGAGGATGAAATAAGCATTGCGAGCTTCCATTCTTGCGAAACCGAGTACAACGAATTCGAGCCGTACAGCGAAGTCGGTTCAAATGATGATCTCCATTCTTACTCAAGCGACAGCGATCTCGAAATTGTGAGCATTTACGGACCCGACTCCGGTATATATTCTGTCAGGAAGTCGCGGGGAATATCGTATAGGACCATCGATCGGCTCGAGGTAGTGCCTTCCGAGAAACCCGACGACTTGGAATACGTGCAATTTTAGAACGCCTTCGTAATTTTGCAGCATATTGTCGAAGAGAACATTATGGTCGAGAGCATCGGATATACGGAAGGTGACGATTTTTTCGCCGATAGCTCCGATTGTGACTCCTCCATTACTGCCAATAAACCTGAATGTCCGGTAAGTGTGAAAATATGATTCGGCGAAACTCCGAAACGCTTTCGATCGAGCACGAGCCGTCTCGAGCTACCCCGACCTGTGGTCTTTTCGGTGGTCCTGATCTATCGAGCGCGGCAGTACGTGTACGATCAGAGTTTGAAGCATTCACGCGAATCGTGTACCTTCGATCTAGCGTCAGCGTCCACGAATCGAGTGGAAGTTTTCATATGTCCTCGGGGCAGCGAGGAATAGCCTGTGGAGTGAATCGTTTAGGTAGTGTCGAGCTTCATCGGTGTGCGTGGCGTTGCATGCTCTATTCGACATCATTTTTGCATGGTTTTCGCACTTCAGGCTGAAAATCACCTCGTAGGAGAACGAATACCATTGTTTGTCAGAAATACACTCGTGAGGATCCCGGACGGGAAACTCAAAATCCGTACAGGCTGAGGGAGAATGTCCCATGCGATCCCTGGGGAGCTCCGATTCCGGAAATTATCGCGTTCCGAGAGTTCCACTCTCAGGCAGAGGGCGTCCGAGAGCCCAAAGGAAATGGGCCGACAGCGTGTGACCCTTCGGAATCTATTCGAGGCCCCGGACAGGGTAGCTATTGTCAATATCGGAGAGTAACCTTGCTTCTGCGCAGCATTGCGTTATGAGTCTATGCCGTACCGGTCTGAAAGGAATAGAGAACACGTCAGTTCTGGAATGCGGCGGTAGAGCTCTCCGGACGAGTCCCGCTCTCCTGATGCACATCGAACGACACGCATCCGCCTTGGAGCTACGAGTTCGGCCAGCCGTGAAAGGAAAAGGTAACCTAAGGTGGTATCTCAGAACGTTGTATCGTCTCAACGTAATCCACGCAGTCGACGGAAACTGCGTGGTGATCGTTGGGGGGCGCGCGCGTGCTGACTGAGATGATGCGGAGAGCTGGGCCTCATTCGCTGCTGGCCGAAATCTAGGATGCATCTGAGAGTCAACTCGAGTTAAGGCAAATCACCCAGATCCGAGATTCTCCGACCGTACGCTGAGAACGCTCTCGTTCCTATCCGTGGTGGTCGGTGGACGATCGACAACCGGAGTGCAACGGTCCAGAATGAAGCGGATCTTCAACGTACGAGACATCGCGGAACTCCCGATGGATCTGGTTGGTTCGCCTTGCGAACAGTATCGCGCCAACTATCGAAGAATGAAAGCATGGAGAAGACCTCACGGCTTTAGTAGACGACGCCAGAGAAGTCAGCGGGCGTGACTTCTTGACAACCTAAGAAAAGTTCCAGAGAATGTGTTCGCGCATTCTGACGCCGCCGCGTCAGGCAGGACAGAATCGAGGGAGACTCGAAGCGCTCCCAGGAAACAGACTGTGTTACTCGAGTGCGACGAGAACGGGAGGGAACTGGACAGTGCCGTGCGAACTTTTGCACCTACTTCCGAACCGTTTCTGTGCTTGTGATGGTGGTGACTGTGTGGTGGGAAACAGCTAGAAATGCTTCCGCTGGAGCTCAATCGGGCGACCACCCCGAGGATCCCCGCGAACTTCGATTCTGCGGAAGAGACTCGCATTCCGCCGCTGAAGTGACTTCCTGAGGGGAGAACACACCCCAGGAGCTCCCCGGAGCTACGGGTTATCGACGCATTGTCCGTGACCCAGATATTGAAAAAATTGTGCGACTGTTTTCCTCAAGTGTGCTAGAATCGTATCTCTGCGGCTACCGCGAGCAGTGAAAGCGACTGTGGCCGCTGCTAAATTAATTGTGCGCTCAAAGTAAAAATCGTGTGCGAATCGCTCCGTTTAGAACACATGTGTGAGAGTGCTTCTGGAATTGGAGAGTGATTATCCAATGGAACGATTTGGTTGGAGTCTGTTTCTTGCTTGCGATGCTTCTGTCTGCCGCTCGACAGAGTTTAAGTGCGTCTTTTCCCATATCTGGTTCCCTTCATCGTCCACGGAACAACGTCGAAGTCAATGATTCACGCATGATCTCACAGAGACGTTGGTCATTCGCTCTTTCCTGTAAAATCAGATCTTGATCCTTCGACCCTCTCCCGACTCGATGGTGATTCCTTCACCTGCTTCTCTCTGCTATCATCTTCTTGCATCGCTCTGAGACTCGTGGGCGAAAATCTGGAATGGAGATCAGATCTCGTTTCTCGAAATTGCCTGCCTATCTTCTCATGTTCGAACATCTAAGCATTTCGATTCCAGGAAGGAAATTGACCGTGATCAGCTCCTGAAATATTTACTAAGTAGCTCCCCTTATCCCGTTGTGTAGGTTACCAACCCTTGGTTCTGTAAGTGTGTCAGTGACGAAGCTAAAACTCGCAACGGCTTTTGCCATAACTGCTGGACTGCGCAATTCGGCTGGCGGAAGGAGGAGGACCGTAGGATCCCGCCAAGCATTGCCCGTAGAAAGAGAAAGTGTACCAAAGATAATGAAGAAAATAGCCCGAGAAAGGTGCTCAAAGTTGAAAGTCCCGAACCCTGTGATAGACAGACAGCATCATCTGTAAGTTTCCCCTCTTATTTAATATTGCGCGACTCTATCGATTGCGACGACCGCATCGCTCCCAAACGTCTTCTGTCGTGGAAATTAACGATGGATCTCTTCCTTGCAGCCTTTGACCGAAGGTGAATTGTCTTTTTCTCAAGGACAACTGTCAGTCGACTCTTCTAGCGAGCCGTCGGCCTTGGATCTCTTGGGCTCGTGCGTGATGTGTGAATCGAGACCGAAGAATACGGCTATCGTTCACGGCCGCTCCGCTCATATTGTGGGCTGCTACAAATGTTCACGAAAAATCCAGGAGAAAAATTTGAAATGTCCTCAATGCCGTCGAGTTGTTGAAAGAGTTGTGCGTCTGTTTCTTTGATTATACATTTTTTTGCGTCAAGCTCTCGATTGTTTGTAATATTGTAAGGGGAGATGAATAAAATTATCGACGAAGCTCTCACGAGAGGTGTGAGAAATCGATTAGTACTCCTTGCGTCATGGGCTGCTCATAGCTTCGAGGGTACACATCGGTCGGAATCAGTGATTCTCTCCCCATTGGGTGAGGAGTTCTCTCTAACGGTAGGAAAGTCGCAAAATGCTGAATGTCAGCGAGGGAATCACGGCGGGTATTCGTAGCACGATCGTATTTCAGTTTGCATCCGAAAGTTCGAGAAGGAGAAACTATTTTCTTAGAGCTATCACGACCTGATTCGTTCATGTATACGGTGCAAGGAAAACTCGGCGGTTCGGTCACACCCTCTTACCTCTCGAGTCACGCATGCGCCTCGATTCCGGTTTCGCTTCGGCATTCTGTACACCGTCGACCACCGGAAACGAGCGGCCGGCTAGGTTTGGTAGGAACGATTGGGAGATTGCCCTCATACCTTCATTTTGATCGCGCCGACGAATCATTTAGCTACATAGACGGCTTCGCGCCAAGGAATTGATGATAGAGGCGTGAAGCTCGGTACTCATTAAAGAACCTCATCCAGGGACCTGGGGGGCGCGAGGGCGGCCCTAGGTGCAGGACGAGGGAGAGTCGGCCAGAGCTCTTGAGGGACGAGAAGCTCGGAGGCACGACGGAGCCCGCCCAGATGGACGCCGACAAGAAATGCCGAAGTGTGGTGCCACCATCCTGCCACAGCTGAGGTCGCGTCGCGACTGCTGTCTCCACCAACTCACCATCAGCCAGCCCATAAGAATCTGCTTGTCGCTGGCACCAGCAGGCAGTGTACTGGGTAAGTATGACTCCGATAGGCCTATAGGATAGTGGTCCTTGTCGTCGTCGACATCATCATCGTCAGCAGCTCCTCCACCAACACTGACCGAATCGCGTCTAGGCTTAGGAGCTTGGCCGCGCGAAATTCCGACCAGACTATCACGAGCCGTCGCTTGCAATCCCCGCTGAATTCTCCGCCGGAGCCGTCGATTGAATGAATTCATTTTTACAGGTTGATGATGTGATGTCCATCGCAAAGATCGGAACCTAAGACGCCGTCGACCATTGCGTGCAGAGAATTCGGCCAAAAGCCCGCTATTTTTAGTTGATCACACACACCTAAGTCTTTTGAAAATTAATCATGGACAAGCCATCGGGATTCGCTCTCGCGTACGCATTTCGCATCATTAGACTCAATCAATAGAGGAACATAGCGCTGTGCGACGACGGCGTTGGGAACTACCCATCGACATGAAGATTCCATCGAACGATTGCGACGACTAACATCGCGCACGGGACATCAGGTGTAACATCTCGATTGGAGGATCGACTCGATTGACAAGCGTATCTGTTGAAGACCAGCGCTGGCTGAGGCTTGACGCTATCTCATTATTATCATCGTAATAATAATAATCGTAATCAGGACCAATAGGAATTCGAACGAAGAAGAACCCATTGAAAACTACCGTGGCAGTTCCGCTGTTGCGCGACCCGTCAGAGCGCAGCCGACTCGAACATCGTTGGCGTCGGGTAGTGTCTTCAGCGAATTCGCCGGACGGATCAGCAAACTGTATTTGACGTCAGTCGTCTTAGCGTCAGTCGACGCAGCGTGTCTTTCAATTTACACTAAACGACCACAGTCTCGCGACTCGATATCTGTAATACGTCTTCAACGTTGAGCCCTCCCAAAGGAAAATCAGGTCGAGTGGTACCCCATCTCAGAGTTCCGGACGGCGCTCGAAAATTCGTAACAACGCAGCCTCACACGAAGAACGAGTCGCCGGGAACGAAGGACTACGACTCCGCAGCACCATCGTACGTTCCTTCTAAATCCTTGATCAATCGATCTGACGTCAGAGGAACAATCACTCGATCTTCATCCAGTCAAACGAAAGAATCTGGTCATTACCGACCTCGGCAGCAACGACGACGACGACTACGAGAGCAACAACAACACCGCCGCCAACAACGTAACATATTTCAGCCAGGTGTCGACCCGGGGCGTCACTGCATCGATCCGACGAGGGGAATTTTTCATGTTCTAAAAATCGGCCCGCCGCGCGGCGTCTCTTGGCCATCAAAGAGATGCCACGCAGGTAGGAAACCGGCATGGCCTTCACGACGGAATGGCTTGCGGGGGAGGCTGACGATATTGCAAGCACTGAATCGTCGCCGACATCTCCATTCCCGCCTCGTCGAAGTCTCCGTCGCACCTTCAACGAGACCTACTCGACCATTTTGCCATGGTTGACGGACGCGTTCGACACGCTGAGCGCCGCGACGACGACATCGACGGCGGCAGCCACCTACGATCCGGTGCCAGCGACGTCGAACTGCGACGATCTCTCGTCGTGGAACTCCACGATTTGCAGAGAGCTCAACGTGACCGTCGCGGACGGCTCCGTCGTTAAGTGGGATCTCCCGTTCCCTCTATGGCAGACTATCCTCATTGGTATCGCCATCGGAATTTGTATCATCTTGACTGTCGGAGGGAATATCCTCGTATTGACAGCGTTTATTGTCGAGCGCACAATTCGCCAACCGAGCAACTACTTCATTGTCTCGTTGGCGGTCTCGGATCTCCTCATCGGAGTTGTTTCGATGCCATTCTACGCAGTATACGTTTTGAACGGACGCTGGGAACTCGGGCCGGTCATTTGTGATCTATGGCTCGCCACAGACCACACAGTTTGCCTGGTCTCCATATACACCGTTCTCCTGATCACAATCGATCGATACTGCTCGGTGAAAATTGCGGCCAAATACCGTTCGTGGAGGACCCGTAACAAAGTCATCTGGATGGTCGTCATCACCTGGATTCTACCGTTCCTGATCTTCTTCATCTCCATCCTCGGTTGGGAACACTTCATCGGATACAGAGACCTCGAACCCGGAGAATGCGCCGTGCAGTTTCTCAAAGACCCTGTTTTCAACACGTCGCTGATATTCGGCTACTTCTATTGCACGCTTGTCGTTCTCTTCGTACTATACGGCGGAATTTACAAGACGGCGAGTAACATGCAGCGGAAATCCGCCGAAAAACAGAGGAAGATGCAGTCACTGGTTGCAATGGGTCGCGGAACGCTAGACGTTACGCCGGGCTTGGGCCTCGGCTTGGCGAAAGCCGCCCAAGTCAGCGCTGACAGGCCTCCGTTGAGGGTTGATCTTGGCGGCGCCGACAATGACGCTAGATCGACCCCGAAGGAATCGAATCTTGTCGGCAACTACTGCAGCAATGACTCATCTACCCTCGAGAGTCAAAAGACTTCGTCGAAATTCGGAAACAACACCGAAACAACATCCTTCTCAGAGAAGAACAAAGACAACTCCGACCAGGATCAGGACAGATCCTCGAGCCCAATATTCGAATCGGACGAAGAATTCGACGAAGACGACGACGAGGCCGCCAACAATCAAATGATCAAAACACCGAAGATCAAACCTGCGAAAAGTAAGGTCAAGGCACCGAAACACAAGAAGTCCGACGCGGGGAGGATGTCGCTCGTGGAAGCCATGAGAATGGGGCCTCCAGCCATCGCTTTGAAAGACACACCATCGGAGCTAGCCAACATCGGCGGTGGTTTGCCAGGGCTCGGACTGGGCATCGCGAGAAGGAGCTCGCACTCCGAGTCGGTGAAACATTCGACAACCAGCGGGACGAATAAACAGACTGACGAAAATAAGAAAGTTACAGAAGTCAATCGAAGCGCATCGATGAACGAATCTCTCCGGCTGAACGTTTGCAGCAAACCAGCACCTCCGAACTCACTAGACGTCAGCGGTCGCCGTGGCAGTAAACTCATCGCTATAACCGAGGTAGGTTTAGCCCTTCAGCCCCCCGATTCCTACTCCCTCTCTATGTCCCACCTTTATGCCCTATATTTCCCCTTCATGCCTTATCTTCCCCCCTGTATGCCCTCTCTCCTCCCGAAAGATAAGATACCTAGCTGACTCTCATCGTTCGATAACTAGGAAGAGAGTCCCCGATCGAATACCGCACGGACAATTATTATTATTGAGATAAATTCCATGAGCTCCTCCCTTCCCCTCAGGTTGCGAGTGACATCTCAGAGGCATGCGTCGAAGCAACGGAGCGCGCTGCCGAGGAAGCCAGAGGCAAGATCGAAGGCGACCGATGCGACCAAAACCATAAGGAAGACCCGAACTTCACCTCTACCGATGACGACATCATACAAGAGCTACCGCAGTCGCCGGTAGAATACACATCCAGTTCGGGCGCGGTTGCTATTGTGATCAGTGAAACAATTTGTAAACAGCTGCCCACAACCGCCCTTCTGGCCGTCCCTGATCAGCCGGCAGCCAAAGATACTCTAGTCAGTAGCGATTCAAGCAAGAGCCACGTCACCAAAGTCGCCGGGGAGGGAACGCCCTGTGGGGGTTGTAGGCTGTCTCGGAATACGGCCACCAATCGATCGAAACGCGAAATGATCTCGTCCATTGGTGATCGCTTACGCAAAAAGCGGAATACCAACGAGAAACGTCAGAAGTCAAAGTCGGAAAACCGCGCTCGAAAGGCCCTGCGCACCATTTCGTTCATTCTGGGAGCGTTCGTTATATGCTGGACGCCTTACCACATCTGCGCCCTCGTCGAAGGCTTCTGCACTTATCCCAAAGGATGCGTCAACCATCATCTGTTCTACTTCACCTATTTCCTCTGCTACGCGAACAGTCCCATCAACCCTTTCTGCTATGCTCTAGCCAACCAACAATTCAAAAGAACCTTCTATCGAGTTCTTCGAGGGGACTTCCACAAAACTTGAAGCCGGAACGATGGTCGAGTCTGAGGGTCGCATCGCCTAGCTGACCATTCGGATTTAGGCCGCCCAGGTGTCGCGAGTTGCGTCACGGCGAGCGGAAATTTCTCTTGCTTCGGTGGTACGACCCCGACCGACTATATCCGGGCTCTGGGAACCCCTCCCGAGACAAAAATAAGCGCTCCGGCGTCGAGCTTTCATTTGATAGTTGTCGATATACATTTATCTATCGTACAAAAGTCGCATTCCCGATATGGTGGCTCAGCTTGAGGCCGGAACTCCCCTCGAAACTCGAGTAGAAAATAAGAGCATCAGAAAGATTCCTTGACGCGATAGATAATTGAGCGCCTGTCGAGTCAAGGTGCTTACAATGATTCCAGTAGCAGGGAATTCCGGCATCGCGTCGTCAGCCCTAGGATCGCCCGCATAACAATGTGTCTTTCAAATAACGCTATTCGAATTACGACGACTCCGACGACTTTCCAACACACAAGTCTCAAACGAACAACAAAGGCTCTTGGGCCTAATACTTTCATAGGTTCATTTTGGTCAGCTGGGATATTCGTCGTCGTCAACCTCGTGCATCCGAGAGGAGGCTCGCCCGAAGTCACTTGACCGAATCTCGAGCGAGAAACCAGGATACCAGAGCAAATCTCCTGCATTCTGCTTGTCCGACCCACACGATTTCGAGCATTTCCCATGCTGTGGGTCAGCCAATCAGAATCCAGTCTATCCGAGGAGTAGTTATGGATCCTTCTGAGTCTTCCCATGAACTGTCCGATGGAATCGCCGTCAACGCAAAGGCCGAGGAGTGAATATCCGCCAACATTTTTCTAGACGACGATGAGGAGAAATTAGCGAGCAAAACAATTATACTCCGGAAGGAAAATGTCAAAGTAGAGGAGCATTTCTGACACTGAGACTCAACAGGGTGTTGTACACTGTTATGAACCGAATACGCGAGGACATCACGATCGAAGTTAAGCTGCGTCAACAGGAATCACGACGCGTGGGTCCCAACCCTACCACTCCTGATATATGTCGAATACTAGACGAGAGCTGACGAAGCAGTGTTTTCCCCCACTGCTCGCGAGCGATGAATTCGACCAGCCAAGACGGATAAGCGCTGGACGGGGAAAACGGAAGAACATGGATTTCGTGAATCGATTGCTCTGAATGACTGATGATGAACCAGATTGAGCGGCAGATGCGGATGAACCACAAGCGGTGCATCGAAACCAGCAACAGCCGCGACCACAGAAGCCGCCGCAATTAGGGACATACGGCACATTTCCTCGGATGAATGTATGCTTCCCTCATGCATACATTCCTGAACTGGGTTTTTGTATGTTCTTAGGCTGCGAATGATTGTATGAGAGCGTGTATGCCCGTGCGTGCCGGCGTGCGTGTATGTAAGTGCTAGCGTAACTCTTTCTGTATTTAGAGGTGCGAGGACACTTCGGGCAACTCTATCAACTGTGATTATGAAACTAACTTGCAATCTAATGTATTTTACCATTGGCCAACCCCACTAGAGGAGAAAAGAGCCATAGGTTGAGAGATTTATACAACAAAAAGCGTGATACTGTTGAGAAAAACCTTAGTAAGAATTTGACGGCCGCCCCTAACCAATTCAAAGACAATGAGCCCATTGATCCGTACAACTGCAGCCTTGGAACAACAACTCGATCTCTCTGGCAACCGCCGAACTGTTTCGACAAGAACGGTCACAATCATCGAAGAAGTCAATGGCACAGTGTGTACCCAGAGGAGGCGGGCTAATTCCCAATCACGGTCGCTCAAGAGCATTTCCCCTGAACTGAGAAGGCGACCTGATCGGGAATCGACGCGGAACCCTCTCGATAACGATTACTATCCCCTGGAGCATTTCCCGAAATATTGCATAGCCATGTCGGATAGGATCGGCTCATCGGAAGTGTCAAGTTCCGCTCCGCGCACCTCGCTCTTCTCGAGGTCGCACTTTGCCATTGCTCGACAGGAAACAGGCGGTTGTCTCCAAGATGAGCTGCGCAGTTGAGATTCTCCACAGTACAAAGGCGGGACGTCAGCGCAAACGTGAGATATTTCCCATTGGATGTTATGTATCAATATTACTTACCATCGTAGGTATCCAACTCCAGGAACCTTACTATTGGTATAGAAATCACAAGGAATCAATGACAATAATGATTATACCTGTTGGCATTGTTGAAAAGTTGTCGCCTCCACTGTCTCTTGTCAAAGTCTCGACCCGGCGATAAGTGGCACGAGCGTGTGTGCTTCCGGTAAGTCGATGTCGGATCTAATGAGACGTTCGGAATAATAATTTTGCCGGCAGTACTCTCAACTTTTTCGCATCTATGGAGAATGAATCTGGAACATCGAACATCGAACCGGAGGAAGCACACACAGATCGTAGGCGGCCCGGACGATATTTCTTCGGTACGACTGCTATACTCAGATGCTCAACATCTTTTTACCCGCGAGCGGAGAGCAGAGAACGTTGCGGCCACGAATGAAGATAATTACCGTCGGTACGATTATTCCCACCGTATTACGCGTATTCGATCATTCGACCCTACGGCCATCGATGTCGCGTGCCTTAAAGGATCGGTCAGAGGACCGTAGCAAAATATGGAGCGTATCTCGGGCTTCGACTCTTCTCCACGACTCAGTGATTGTTTTATTTCAATTTCCAACATCGAGACTCTATGATTGCGTTCGATCAGACCAACATTGTTCTAGTTACCGCTGCGAGAAGACCTATGCCTCATCTGGGAATCAAGGCCCGCGATCGGGACGCCCGGGAGCAGGCACCATCACCCCTTGCCGCCTTCCCTCCCACTACATTGTAGAATATTTTCCGGATGAATCCAGTCCTCTTGAATCGACTTTGAAATTCCCAAGAAAGACCCCGCGGGGTCAGACTCCACGTCTCCCCTGACGAATCCGTACTATCAGAGCCGGCCTGGTTTCCCGTTGAGAAGGTTTTCTCCGAAGTGCCAAAGTAGCTTGATGTTTGTGTTTCGGAAACTGCCGTTCACGATAATGATTAGGATCGGATCTGGACTCGTTACCGCTTTGTTGGAGCATTGGAAGTGATGATCTCATGATTAAAAGCATTTTTTCGCAGACCACGATGTCTTTCTTCGATTTCCATTCGCTCGCTTCCGAGCGATCAACGTCAGCATTTTTCCGGTGCCCAGTCTGATAATTGCAGGATCACCTCGCACAGTACAGGTCCTAATTTTGTGTATTCGCTGTGAAACGACTTTCTCCTGGAGGGAAGGGATTATGCTATGTTGATGCCTAAGTTCTTTTTCCTTGGGCTTCCCAGTCAGAGCTTAGGCCCTATGAATACTGGGCTCAAACTGAGCCCCCTCACCACGACCTCTGTAATCTACGAGCCCGCACTCGCCCTCACGGCGCGAATAAGGAGAGCATCATTCGTATAGCCAGATCATTGATTCGGAGCCAAGCACCTCAGCACTCGCGAGTCGTGAAGATCCGTGGTCACTCACGCCACGCATCGGGGCACTTCGGCAGTCGTTCCTCGAGAGTCTCAATGCCTCGAGCTGCTCCCTCGGCGAATCCATCCGGAGCCGTGCGATAGTCGTGATCGAAGAGCCTCATGGACGCAAGCGGAATATATGTGTGAATACATATATGATCGGAACATCTCTCGATCAATACCTATCTCCCTGATCGAGTCAGTCTGAGTCTAAGGCATCGAACCCAAAGGGAGAGCGGTCTCGACACTGAGCCCCAAGGTCGGACGCCCTTCTGCCCCCACGAATTGCGTAGGTTGTACGATCGTTTCCGGTGAAGATCTGGTCCGGAAAGTAAGGGCAATGCTCAATCGTTGTTTCCTCATACAGAATAAGACTATCATCACGAGACGAAATCTTACGGAATTCTTAGTTTCTGTAGAAGACAGAAAGTAACAGAGGAGCGAGACCGATCGGCCCCGCTGTATTCGGTCGTCATTGATCATCGAAATATCGAACTCCCGTCTGCGAAGCCTCTTTTCTGACAACATGCTTACTATTGAGCCGTCACCCCATCGCCTTACTCTCACTGAGTGCGGTAGCTCGTTCACAAGCTGTTGCACTTCCGCGGATCTATGTAGAAATAAGGAGACCTTCATTCGCTTAGAGCTTTATTCCACCTCCACTGTCGGATGTGCTTATCGCTTCCCTCCGACACGAGGTGCAGCCTTCTGTTGGGGCTTGGCCGCTTTCTGGGAGGGTTGTGCCTTCTTTGCAGCCGGAGCTGGGGCGGGCTTCTTTGCCTTGGCAGCACGCTGCTTTTCCTTTGCGGCACGGATGGCCTGCTCACGAGCGGCCTTACGGACTTCCGGCTAGAATTGAAGATACCCCAGGTTAGTCCAAAGGAATGGCCAGAGGTTGATGGTGTCCCGATCTGGTTCATCTCATGAGCCTGTTCGTGGCTATAGAGGCGACAGAAAGGTATCGTTGTGGCATCGCGATTCATCCCGAAAGGTCCTTTTAGGCGTAACCATGAGAAAAGCAGCGATGCGACAGGGTGACGGATTCCCATCCGAGGTCTGATTCGTTCGGAAGTGTTGTTCCATCCTGGTTCATCTCGTGAGCCTGTTTACGGCTTTGGAGGCGACAGAAAGGTTTGCTGTTGCATCGCGATTCATCCCAGGCGGTCCTTCATGGGACCGAAGAGAAAAGCAGCAATGCACCTCATCCACGAAGCGGGAGAGGCAGCTTGGTGGGCGAATGGGTCACACCTCGGCGCGAATGGATCTAGGCATACAAATGTGTTCGGCTCTGGTTAACCCACGCGAATCAGGAAAATTCGGGGGCTCATATTCGCCAGTCGGTATCGCATCACCATCTGCCCGCAGGAAATGAAAGAGCTCGTTTCCGTGGAAAATTATGATGCCCAAGAGCGGAGTCCGAGCTCCACGCCTCAGCTAGGGAACTTACTTTCTGATTCCTCTTCGCCATGATTTCCGTCAACGAAGTACCAGCGATAGCCCTCTGGTACTTGACAGTCTTTCGGGTCCTCTTTTTGACGGTTTCTTCCTCGGCACCCTTCTTGTGCTTCCGACGGTAGAGAACTGTCCATCGGCACTCACGGGGGTTTCGCTTCAGCAGATGAGCCGCCAAACATCGCGAGTTCAGGAAGTTGAAGACCTGTTCGAATGGAGGCCCTTAGAACAGAGTTTTCCGGCCAGTATACGCTTGGGATTTTCAGTCGCAGAGATCTGGTACGGCAAAGACTACACGTGATTCACACCGGATCCGTGACCACCGTCGTTGAACTTGTACGCCCGGAGAGGACTAAACCCGCTGCTACCGGTGTCATTCTCTTTTCGACGGGCACATATCACCTCTAATCCGGGGTTACCGTTGGGAGGTCGTTGCCTAATTCATCCGAGCTGAGAATTCTCGGGCCTTACCTTGCCATCAACTTTGACCAGACGCTTCCCATGGCCCGGGTAGATTTTGTACCCGGAATACGAACACAAGCCGATCCTAGAAGGCACACACAGGACCTAATTAGACTCAGCAACATGCAGAAATCGATATTTCCCCGTGAAAATGAGGATTTGGAAGGATTTCATCTCGTATTCCACATACTTCATCTTTGCGGGGTGGCTTGAACACCGAAAAGAACGTAGCTTGTTTTCGAAACAAGATGGTCGACTGCAGTGGTTTCGGAATCGTTTCCCCGTCGGAACACGGTTTTCCGGTCTTCTTAGAGAGTCTGAGAGCCCCGATAGTAGATATAGCAGAAGAACATTTATCCTCAAGGCTATCGGAACGTCGAGGGGGATTTTTCCGGAGCGGTTTGCCGAAGTACCCCAGTGGCGGCAAATTTCGAAAAAAAACAGATGGGGTGTGAAATCACGGCGATGAGAGCCGAATAGAGACTCCCGAACACGTGATTAGCGATCTACTATCGGCGCCATACCCACAGAGACATATGAGGACAGCGGCAATGATTCAAGACTCCTCTCAGATACGATAGCGGGGCTCGAGCCTCTCCCCCAGGGCATGGAGGGGGGTCGATGTAAAGAGAGGCTGGGCCCTCCTTCGTGTGACTATGAGTTCAGGCGGATATCGCTGAAATGAGAATCGCGTTCGTTTTCGAAGGAAGCTCTTCGGAGAATATATTGAACGAGCCGTGAGACTCGGGGATGCTTTCTGGAACACCAGAGAGGGCTGCGAGGACTTGAGGTAGGTTTTGTCGTGAGGGATCTCACCAAGATTTGTCGCGCTTCGATCTCGTCCATCTACTGCATGGCGGCAGGAGACTTGAAGTTCTCAAAGCACGGTCAATCCTGGCTCCCTGTCGATAAATGAAATCGATGCGTCAGGTCGGATGATTTCGACGATTGCGAATCGCGACACGAACGATGTCGCGTACCATCTCTTCTATCGACTCGTCGACCGATGTCTTCCCTCCGTCGACATCCCCTCCTCTTTGATTATCTCAAATAGAATTCCGACGAAGAGTACGAAAGCATCTCCAAAATGTATTGTAGAGTACCCTCCTATGAGCGGTCCTTCAGTTTTATGCTCAAGGGATGTCAACCGGCCCCGATCGATTCCCATAAAGACTCTAGAACTACATAGAAGACACGATCTCTTTTCCAGCGCCACCGCGATGTCCGACAGCTCCACATCAGGCATGGAGGTGGATCTATCTGAGCAGTCGCTGAAAAGACTTGACAGACGCGATGGAATCGGCGTGGAGACCCTGCGTCTAGACAATAACCAGCTCCAGAAATTAGATAACTTGGATTGTTTCTTGGATGTGTGGAAACTCAGCGCCGCTCACAATCAGTTGACGCGGATGTATAACATCTCCAAACTACATCGCCTCACACACGTCGATTTGTCACACAACCAGATATTGAGCATTGAAGGTTCGTCGATTAACGATCGAACTCCCCACATGATGGTCTCGACGAGCGGGAGGGAGCTGCGAGAATTGAGGACTGACTCTTTCCAGGCTTGAAAGATCTCCGCCACCTTCAATGGCTATCCTTGGCCGACAACAAACTCAAGTCACTACAGAACATTCAATTTAGTATTTCACTTGTCCACCTCGATGTGTCGGACAACCAGATAGCCAATCTCATGGATCTTTCGTCGTTGAGCAAGTTGAAAACCTTACTCCTCAACCGGAATTCGATCCAGAGTCTCGAGAGGGCCCCCTTGTATTTCCCAGCAGCCCTCTCGGTACTCGGTCTGGCCGAGAACAAGATCGGGGATCTCACGATGGTGAGATTCTTGCTTCTCTCATGAAGTATACCGCCTCTTATTCTCATATGCGCCGCTGCGAGACGGCGAAAACATAGGGAAGCCCATATCGCTGGAAACCTGAGTATTCCTCTGATCGCAGGTGTCCTTCCTGACCAAGTTGCCGTCCTTGGAAGCGCTGGCTTTTTTCGGGAACCCCTGTTACGTCGAGAAAGAGTTGTTCGATTACCGTCCGTATATCATCAACTGGTGTCTTGGTCTCCGAGTGCTTGACGATTACGTGGTCACTCAACGGGAGAGGTGAGGCTTCTGTATTCGTCAATCGAATGATTCTCGTAACGCAGGTATCACTCTGGCCTGGCTTGCCGTTCACAGCCCTCTGTTGCGAACATGAAGTGAATCGACTCCGGTATTCGATGTCCTACGCTCGGGATCTTCCTGACCAGACGATCCAATCGCTCCAGGAGATCCTGACGCAGGTGGCGGGCTCTTGCCAAATCGATGATCTATTAATACTTGGGGAATGCCGTTGCAGTCTCAAAGCCGAATGGCTCTACAGCCAAGGCAAGGGCCGCTTCTTCACCATCGGTCAACATCAACCTCTGGCTGAGTACCTTCAACAAATTTGTCCAAAGCAGGTTAGTTCAAAGCTTGCACCGTATACTTCCTTGCTTCTCTAAAGATCTCGATATCCCGAGGCGTCTCAGCGCGATTCCGGGTGGAGACGAGCGTACTGTACTGCTATCGAATTTCACCTCGATGATTCCATTCTTGATCGAAGCTCCGGACACGAGCGGAGTCCAGCCCCGATTTTCCAGTATTGTCAATCCTTGATTAAGAATTCGGTTTCGTCTCTTCACATGAATTAGGGGCGCACTCATTCGACTCGGGCGACCGAAGTCCTGTGAATGAGTGCTGCCTCCGGATTCTCCCAGGGGCCGAGCTCAAGATCGAGGAGTCTGCGGTGGGTCGAGTCTGGGAGATAAAGTTGATTTCGGTAGGGAGGTCCTCTCTTCATCGGAAAGGTCAGAGTCATCGATTCTATCCCACGATGATGATGAGTCATCCGCTCGAGGCACTCGAACCGGAAGGGCGATGAGGCTTCGGGCCTATTGCCGAATTCTCGAATTCGGACCAACAGTCGGTCTCCGGGAAATCGGAACGGCCCCTCAAAAATTCTCTCTGTTTTCGCTTCGTTCTCGCTCCTTTTGGGCTTCCGCCGTCCCCTCCATCCGCCGCGTTTGTGCGTTCCCTCCCCTTCAGCGTCGTTGATAAGGCGGATTCCTAATGGAACAATTGGTCGATGACGCGTCCTGCGATTGAGAGCAAGCCATACTCTCAAAACTGCTCACCGCTCATACAAGCCCGCATGATGTGACTGCTGCTGATTTCACTCGAACATTATCGGCATGTTATCCGTAATTCCGAGGAAGCGTTGCGACGAAATGCTCTCTTATTGAGGAAGATAGTCAGAGGCAGATTCTTGTTCTTTCGTCTAAAAGAAGCTGCCTTCTTGCGCTCCGTTTGAGGCAGGACCTCGAAATCTCAATCATCACTGCGCCAGCGCAGGTGGAGTATGTATGCAGAAAAAGCTATCAGACGCTGCGAATACTGCCGGGGGATTCCCGAAAAAAATCTCGAGTATAGATCCATGGAACTTGACCGGACGTCACTGCGGCAGAACCGCTCCTCAACAAAGCGTCCATGCGCGGTATTCTCAACGATGCGTTCACAGTGCGAAACAGCGCGGTTGAATGACTGGCAGCCGCGCAGCGATGATGACACTCGCTTGGTTCTCTTGTGGATAGAAATGGTGCCGGTGCCGTGGCTCTGCCGTCGTTCCGCGCACCGAAGACGACAGCAGATCCAACAGCGAAGTCTATCGGGAGGAGCAACTAGTGTCAGATAGGCCCTACAGGTGACTCATTTCGACGACCGGGACTCCGATCAGAGTTCCTGGACTCAAGGGATATGTAGATGGTCGCTGCCCGTGAAATTCCGGCCGCCTTCGAGCCTGCCAGGAAATTAGACTGTCTAAGCTGACTAAGGATCATGATGAAATAATCAGCGCGGATCGAGAGCTTCTCGATACTTTAGCTGAGAATGGATAGCGGGATCATGATTTGAGGGTCAGCTATCGCTAGATTTTCTACGGCGGAGAGATGATGCCTCGGGACCTGAAAATCAAAGGTCTCTCGACCATGATGAGCTTCGTCGGAGCTTATTTCGTACACGTTGAACCCACAACTCCCTGAGCCTTCATTAGAGCTCAATTCTGCTCGCTTTCTGAACTGAGCTTCTGTTCCCCAGTTCCGAACCGTCTTCCTCGAGTTCGGAGAAATCGACTGCCGTGATCGCGCGTTTTCGGATCAGTCGCGAACCATCTCGAAAGCCTCCCCGAATGTTTATGGATCTCGCTGACTCACTTGTTACAATCTGGAGTACACCGGGGTCTAGCCGGGTTCGGTCTCGATGAGCTGCAGCCCTGTACACGCTTTGAATGAGGGTACCCGCCCGCGCTCTCGTTGGATTTGGGGTGGTGATTCCGACGCGTGGAGTACCTGGAAATATATTCTGCCGGTCTTGCTGCGCTCCTTGAGCCTCCCCGAAATAAGTATCACGGACGATTATGGCGAATCGCCCCCGAAATCGCTGGGAGTTCTCCAAATGTCCGAGAGGAAAGTATCCGTCAATCGTATCGTGAAATGTGACCTAATAAATCACGAGAGTATCAAAGTTTTCGATTGAGGCTGGCGACGAGACAGTGCAACGATCGAAGTAGGATTGGTGGTTTCGTGAGTCTAGGAATTCTGTTCTGCTCGGAAATCACTGTTTCGCGGGAAAGTGTAATCCCGCGAACTATGTGAGCCCTGCGGTCCGACTCGAGGGATACCACTTCCGTATCGTTCTGCCTCTCGTAGATTCGATCTTCACCCGATCAGCGGTCGCAGGTGATCGGCATTACGAGGTCTCGACTCATTTCCGATTCCGACCGACCGAGAGGGATCCATGGGAGAAATCTTGAGGGATCCGGAGACCGGGAGCGTAAATTGTCTCTCGGAAGGGATGCGCTGGATGCTCCGCTTAGCTACACTGTCGATGACAAGTTGAGTTGTTGGAACAGATAAATGGTCATGTGTTTGATATCAAGCGCAGCCTCGCCGCTTACTGACGGAGCTTTGGGCATATTGTTTCATTTTGATTCATTGCGTGGCGGATTGTGGGGCGTCGCCCGAGAACAGGGCTCGGGGGTTGTCCGCAAATGTCCCGGAAAGTCCCGGAATGATATCTCTCCGCCTGACTATGTTCCAATGTCAATGATTTGTAAGTTTAAAACTCAAGTCGACCCGGGTAACTATTCCTTAACACGCCGCATACAGTGATGACCTCGCTTTCCGATTACCCATACCTGGAATCAGTGCGAAACTTCCATTGGTGAACTAGATCACAGAGCCGGAACGCGGACGAAAGCTTTTAATCTCAGCTTGAGGAATCCATTTCGGATGACATCAGTGATTGCGCTCGAGCTGGCAAAGTCCAGGAGCGTCGTTGAGCTTCGAGGCGTTTTGTAATCTTGGCGGAGATCCGATCAACGTTCGGATCACATTGTAAATTGGAGACTCCAGAGGTACTCATCAGAGAACGCTCTGTCAAAGCTCACGATGGAATCCCATCGCCACTAGGATGTCGTGGTGTCGGACAAGGTATCGATGACCCGAGACTTTGTTCGCATCGGTATAATCCCACATCTTCGGAGAATGACGTGTTTAACGTGACTTTAGCGGCTTTTTCAATCGATCCTTCAGTCGAAGCGAACAAGGGCCAATGTGATCAGGAGGAGTCGACGTTTCTCTGGAACGAAATCGTCTCGTGGATTTCACGGGAAACAATACGAGGAAGAGTTCGAGAAATATGCTCGAAAGCGATTTCTCGCTAAACGTGATTTGTCCAAACTTGCCAGAGATCTTTGCTTCGGAATAGCATTGGGAAAAAATTGGCCACCTCGTCGGGGTTCAACTCGAACGCCATGCGGGCCGTTGACCCACACCTACACACAGTCACTAAACCGCGAATAGTTTCTTCTTACTCCACTCTGGAAATGTTTTCCACAGCAATGGGGCCGTCCAGGGGGATTTCTGACATCAGACTCGTTGCTCTATGACGAAATTCAATTCAAAGCATGGGATTCACGCTTATCGGACAGCAGTACTAGGCATCGAGAAATACATCACGAATGATGATAGTCAGATCGAAATCCCCTCGGAAGCTCTGATTAATTCTCAAAATGCAGTCGGACAGGTTCGAGATGAAGAGTCTCTGGCTCTGCTTGACGAACGTTTCTCTCTCGGTGTTAGGCACCGAACGTCGAAGTACATATATTCGTGCCATCAAGGCTGATTCTCAGGTGCTCCTGCCAACTTCTCATACTTCCTCTCGCTAGCTGGAGGCATCCCGCAGTAGGCGTCGATCTAAAAATTCTGTTCGCCGTAAACTTCCGCAACTTCGTTCCGGGCTCGGCTCCCTCGCCGTTCCGAAGCAGGAGGGCTTAGCGAAAAAGACGTGTAGTCTGTTATAGTTTATGTATACTAGCAACAGGGGAGGGAGAAGAACGCCGATTCAATGACATGCAGCTAAGTGAAAGACTGCGAGGCGGCTCTGGCAACGGGGAGCATTCAACGTCATTTCGTCGCTCGGGCACAGAGCTGTCGGAATCTGGAGCTTGAAACAATCCACCGTATGTCGACGCGAGTGGAGACTAATGCGTGGTGGCTACGCTAACTAACGGAAGATTGCCACGCGTGTATAGGAACCATGGCAAACCGTCATCGCTATCATTAGCGGGTAAATCGGGAGAATAACCCTTCCAAAGGGCATCTATCGAACGAAACGCCGCTGAACTGAAGTATGGCCCGTTGCTTGAATTGAAGTTTGACGTGGCGGCACACAGCGCGCTTGGCGGCGGCAACGGCTGAGACGGCGGTGCCGGTGGTGGTAGCGGCTGCAATAGCAACAACTTCTGACAGCGAGTGCTCGGCCCTTTCCTTTGCGATTTGGGTCATGACCAGAGTCGCGGATCGCAAAAAGCACAGCAGCTAACCGTCCGACCGACCGACCAACCAACCAACCGACTGCGCGTTGTCGAAGCTAGCTAGCTAGCGAATGAGCGCCATCGCCACTACAATCGGCATCACCGAGCAACACCGTCGTCCCGAACCAACATCGTCGTCCCGACGACGTCGAGCCAACTAGACAGTCAGCCAGTGAGCCGTCGTTGTCAGACCTAACCAGAGACTGCTTTTGCGTTAGTGCCGCTGACCGTGGCTCGGTGGTGGCTTCGACTATCCATCGCCCGGCTGGCTCGCCGCTTTGCTCGGCCTCCCGCCAGTCGAGCCGCCGAACACGGCGACCATCGAACTACTTCCGACTCTTCAATCCTGACTCCGAGCTGCCTCGATGCTGCATGATTGCGCGCAAGGGGTACAGCGCCAAGCGTCCTGCGGCGGTCTCGAAGACGAGCGTTTGAGCACATTGGATGCGCGAATGTCGAGCAAGGCAGACCGAGCATCCGATGAGATCAGGGCGAAAGAGTTGACGCATCGCCTGTTTCGGCGATCCGCCACCTCGACCGCAATATCGA